AACATGAAACTTTAAATTTTGGATATGAATCACTAAAAAAATCTTTTAAATGCAAATATATGATTCTTATATGTAAATTACAGTTTGTGAATCTTTATAATGATGAAAATTCTTACAAATTTTAAAATTCTTGTGAATATGAAAGTTTTGCTAAACTTTGAACTCTTGAGAATTTAAGAAGCCTAGAATCTTGTAATTCTTACGAATTTGAAAGTCTTGTGAATCTCTGAATTCTTACGTTTCTTGAGAATCTTTAAAATTTTTGTAAATCTTCCATTTGATGTTCTTGCAAATGAAAGTTTTACGAATCTTTCAATTCTTGCGAATCTGAAACTCTTACAATTTCTTGCGAACCTGAAATTCTTGCGAACATGAAGTTCTTACGAACTTAAAAATTCTTGCAAATTTGAAAAAATCTTGCAAATCTGAATCTATTGTGAATCTTTAAAGTTTTTGCCAATTTGAAAATCTTTACGAAACTTGAAACCTTTGTGAATCTGAAAGCTCTACCAAACTTGGAATTTTAAGAATTTACAACCTTCGTGAATATGGAACCTCTACAAAATTTGAAATCTTGCGAATATGAAATTTTTGTGAATCTGGAAACTTTGTGAAACTTAAATCTAATGAATTTGGAACCTTTGCAAATCTTGAATCTTTGAAAATTTTATAATCATTATGAGTTTTTTGTCAATCTTAGAGCCTTGGAATCTTTTAATTCTCATTATGAAGCTTTGCAAATCTTTAAAATTTTGTGAACCCTTGAATTTCCAAATTATGAATCTTTGGATTTTAAGATTTTTTTTTTAATTTTTCTGAACTCGAACAAAATGGATTTCTTTTTGTCTTTATGCAATTCTTGTTTCATAAAAACTATGCAAAGAGAGATAACCGTAGACACCCCATTTTGTCCAAGAACTTTTCCAAAATTGAAACTAGGTCTTAACCATGATTTGTGCCCAATTGTGAAACTTCATGCCCAATAAAAAAAATTTTAATTTTAATTTGATTTATTTATTTTGTTCGATTTTTCTTGTTTTTAAAAAAATAAAAAAAAAGTCAATGAGTCAAAAGTCCCAAAAAAAAAAGGAAAGAAAATTAAAACATAAAAAAAATGAAAGATTGTGTTTAGGGATTTAATCTTGGATGAATTTTTTTGGCTTAATTCATGCAATCACTACAAATCAAATCAAATCACATACTGATTCAATTTGATTGATTTTCTAAAAATAAAAAGGGATTGAATCCTTATAAAACGGACAACTAAAAAACACACAAGAGGGGATTCATAAAGAAAATTGTTTGGCAAATCATAGGGGATAGACTGGGTTTTCGTAGGTTTTGATTTTCTCATAGGATTCTCATTTGGGTTTGTAAAAATTGTTTATGAATTTCAGGAAAATTTTAAATCTCTATATTGGGGTTGTTTCTAGATTTTTGGAAGTTTCTGGGCTTTAGATTTGTCAAATCATTATGTGAAATTTTTGTATTTTTAGATTGGATTCTTAGATTTTATGTTTTTAGGGATTTATGGTTTTATAGTTTTTTTTTTTTTTTGGAAATTGAGTTTTCTGAGTTTTACTGGGTTTTGACTGAATTTTTAAATTGAATTTTTAAAATTTTCAATGGAATACAAGGCTGCTGGAAGAGTTTTGCAATGGTCGATTTCTAGTTTCATAAGATTTTCTAGAAATACTTAAAGTTTACAATGGTCGGAACTAGGTTTTTTGGTTAGGTTCTACATTTGGTTAAACTTCCCAGTGAGACTTCTAAAAAGAAGTTATAGAAAGTTTGAGTTAGAGAGAGAGATGGTCAAAGCATTCTGAAAAAAAAAAAAAAAAAACCAAATTTGCTTTTATAAGGAAGTAATACAATGTTGTTTTAGAAGAGGCTTTGACTCATGTGCTATTCGATGACCTACGCATTGACCTGCGCTTTAGATCCAACTTAATCGTAGGTTTTTTTTTTCTATTTTCTTTTTATTTTTATTTTTATTTTTATTTTTTGTTTTTTATTCTATCTCCATTTTTTATTTTTTTGTGTTATTATTATTATTATTATTAGTATTTATTAGTTATTTAAATTTAAAAAGAATAAAGAAAATAAAAATTTTGGTAATATTATTTATCATTTTTATTTATATTTATGCATGATTATTAATTAATTGCATATTTTATATTAAATGCATGATAATTTATATAGTATATTATTGTATAATTATATTGTCTTTGCATGACTATATTATAATTGCATGATATATTATATTATTTTGCATGATAACTTTTGCAAGATAATTTTAGTTTTATTTTAATTGATTGTTTATTCCTTTTCTTTCTTTCAAAATTAAAAAAAAAAAATGTTTTTCAATCCTACTAAATTATTGGAGGATCTAATCTTAAATTAAGTCTTACTAAACTATTGAAAAATTTAATAGTTTTTTAAAAAAAATCCTACCAATTGATTGGAAAATAATTTTTAACGAAAAATTTTACCATCAAATTGGAGGATATTTTTAATTATAAACCTAGTTTATAGAAGCAAAATTAAATGAATACAATGACGAAACCTATTCAGGTTGAAACACTAATCTCTATGAATATTTTTGAGGTAAAAGAATTATCTTAAATTGTTACCAAACTATTAGAGTAATTTTAAGATCAATTTTTAATATTAAATTATTTGATAAATTGTAAACATATTTTAAGACTTGGATAATTTAAAATCAAATTGATATCATTTTTTGGATAGGTACTATGAAAATGTTATAACCTTTTTCACGTGTACTTATATTTCTAAACCTAAAAGTTAGTTTCACAGATTAAAATCTACTATTTAAAGATATTCAAATCAATCTTGAGAATCTTTTTCAAATAGGATAAATTTAGTTAAATGATTAATCACACATAAATAAAAAAAATTGATGATGATTTATTTAGTCTATGTCTAGTAATAAGTTTATAGATCTATATATTATAACAAGGAATTTGTTAAAAGCAACCATCCAAGCAACCATAACATGTTTAGAAATATGAAGTTTGCACCAAATGAGCCTATGCTAATCCACCCTCTGCTTTCTTTGTCCATTACCTACCAAACACTAGTTGTGGAGTAACTTATGCTTATAGTATTTCATACAACCCCTTTCTCTATCCGCATTAAGAATTTGTAAGCAAAGCTCTTCAATTTTAACAGTTTCCTTACGAGGCCCAATTGTGGCTTGGTACATTAGAAATCTCCTATATACTGCATTCCTTGAGCACATAGCTCTATATCCATACTATCCACAGTGACCTAGCTTGTGTGTAGATTGACCAAAGTAGCCTAATAACACAAACTTGATTACAGACATTTTATATTCTTGACTCCAAGTCCTTCGTTAGACTTTGGCTTGCATATATCTTGCCTATTGACTCTTGCCCTCCTTGTTACACTTGTTTGACTTTTGCAAAAAAATCGTAGGCATACTTGTGTGATTTTCTTGATTACTTGTTTGGATAAGATAAAATGTCTACACTAATAATTGCGTATATATTGAATATTACAGACTGAATTAATTGTAATTTACTTGCATAGTTAATTTTTTTAGAGTCAAAATATTCAATGATAACTATCATAATAATCCCTTGAAAAAAAAAAAAGCTTGCATAATATTAACCTAGATGGAATAGAAAAATAACTAAAGAGTATTATAAGGTAAAATATATTATTGATTATTTAATTATAATTATATTTTTAAAATTACTATTTAATTATTAATTTTTATTTTTCCTTAAAATTTATTAAATATTTTTTTCACTTAATTATTAATTTCTAATAATCTACTAACGTGATAATATTGTGCAAGTTTCACATATCACGTGATATTGCACAACACTTTGACAATCACATTACGTTATATTATAAATTTTGAAAAAAAATTTATTAACGTGATAATATGACATGCATTAAGGGTAACCATCTAAAGTGATAAAAAATATTTATTAAAATTTGAAAGATTAAATAAAAAAGTAATATTTAAACATTATTAAAAAATACGACTATAATTAGAATAGCAATGGTATATTGTATTTTATTTTTATAACGCGGTGAGAGTCAAGCTGCAAGCATTTTCAGAAGATACTATCATAAAATGACGGCACGATGACAGAAACCTTGTCATGGGCTCTAAATAGATGGGCTTAGTTTCCTGGTGCAAAAGTGTACACATATAACACGTACATTTGAATTAAGTAACTTGAGATCTTTAAAAGCTTTCTAGTGATTTTAAATCATCAGCAATAATTAAAATGGCCGTCAACATTAAATGCAGATAATCATTTCAATCATCTTTCTCTATAAACAGTGAAAAACCATGAAGATTATTGAAAGAGTCACCGGTACAACACAGCTGGATATATTTTATCTGTATGCACGCCTAAAACTCTTTATAAATTGTTTCATAATTCGACTCTCAATCTTACCCTTCATAAATGTTTGCTGCAAATTGTCATTTGTTACAATTCCTGCTAATCTAACGTAGAGTCTATTCTTTACTTCAAGTATTACCTTACATGACACCTGTTTAATAAACACAAATGGTTTTTTTTTTTTATATATTTTTAAGATTACTTGCGTAATTAGATTTTGGCTGTAGCTTTTCCTAACGGCTACTTCCCCTAACGGCTCGCGTGAATTTCACTTAGCAAACCGCTAGTTTTGCGCTTTAGGGTGTTCTAAATTCTATTTGCTTTTATCACATGTCAGATACTTTCCTTAGTCCCGACTCAGGTGGCTTTAGGGTTTAGGGTGTTTCTTTTTCACTTTCTTCAACACAACGCTATGTGTTATACTCATCTTTTTTCTTTTTTTTTTTTTTTTGTGTTTCTCTTTTCCTTCTTCAACACACACTATTTATCCATTTAATCCAGTTTTTTGTTTTTTCAGAGTTAAAAAGGCTTCCTTATGATATTGGTTTGCTTCATTCTTTTTAATTTTTTTGTCATATCAAAAGTGTAGAAGACCCTCCCTAGTTGTTTGGGGGTCAAGGAGGTGAGCGAAATTATGGAATGGGGTGGTAACAGTGCTGCTACATCATACAGGTGTTCTTGAAAGACCATTTGAGAAGGAGAAAAGATTTAAGAAGACATAGGAATCATGTATATCTCAATTTTCATTAAATTTTATTAGCTAATTTTACAACCTTGATGAAAGACATAAAAAAATTCATATAAAAATTTCCTATAATAATTTTTTAAAATTTCTTTCATTACCTTAGATTATCTTTCATTGTGCGATTTTGCATCAGAGTTAGATACATTTTTTTAATGTTTGCATATATTTTTTAGGGTACAAATAAAGGTAAGGTTTTTTTTTTCTTTAGATAATGATATTTGAGGTTGTCTATGAATCAATTTATCATGTTTGTTTTATATGAATCCGATTTTCTTGTGATGTTATGTTTATATGCACGTATATATATACACTCAACACACATATCTAACATATATATATTTTTAAAGATCATTATGTGTGTGACACGTGTTCTGTTTTAGGACGATAAAGGAATTACGAATATGTTTCAGGCATTTGTGACATGTCATTGACAAGAGGTAGAACATAACGTTCGAGAACTTGTTTCTCTGAAAGAGGAAGATCAGAAGAAGAAACGACTCCGAAGAACTAATTTTCAGCCTTCAAAGGGAAAACAGGAAGATGGGTGTTCCAACTTTTTATCGTTGGTTGGTGAATAAGTATCCCAAGGTAAGAGTGAAAGCCATTGAAGAAAAAGGAGATGATATTGTAGATACAAGCTCTACAAACCCAAATGGCATTGAGTTTGATAACTTCTATCTTGATATGAACGGGATAATCCATCCATGCTTCCATCCAGAGGATCAAGTTTGTTTATCTCACCGACATTTTTATCATCATTATTTTTCTTTGTTTATTCTTGTAAAATTGATGTTGTATATTCATCTCATATATAGTCACATGAACACGGTCTCATATAAATATATCTTTTACCAGACAACGAAAAAAGAAGTTATATCTATAGGTTATGTTCTGTTTATTTAATTTGAATGGCTTTTACGATAAGAATATAACCCTTTCATAGGTATATGCCTTGCAAAAGCAATTTAAGTGCTTTAGTAATAATATTTTTCTTTGAAAGAAAAACCTGTTAATTAATTTTGTTTGCATGCAGTCTTTGGCACCAAAGACCTACGAAGATGTATTCGAAAGGATCTATGAATATGTAGATAATCTTTTCAGCGTTGTCAGACCAAGGAAGCTTCTATATATGGCAATTGGTAAGGTTGTTATTGTCATTTTCAAAACGCATTTTTAGAGATAAAAGACAATTTTCTTTAAATATTGGGGCTTCTGGTCCAGAATTTCTGAGCCAAGTTCTTTTATGTCACTTACAGAAATTTCCTCATAGCCTGGTATATCAGCTTTAATAAAAATGATGATTCCATATTGTACTGTTACCTGATAAAATTTTGAATAAAACCTGATGAATGGTCTAAGCATGATCAAATATCAGAAAACTTCTAGCCTTGGTTATCTTTCTTTGTCAAGGATCATGCAGTCAAGCTGATCAAATTGGTTATTGCAGATGGAGTAGCTCCACGAGCCAAAATGAATCAGCAGAGATCACGCCGCTTTCATAAAGCTAAGGGTGATGAGATTGCTGTATGTTTTATGCAGTTAAAATTAATAAACTGGATCATTATGCTTTCAAAGTCTGTTTTAGGTTATATTCTTGAAATTTTTTACGTGTAAACTGTAGGCAGCTGAAGAGGATAGATTGAGGAAACAATTTGAAATGGAAGGTAAACCAGTTCTTCCAAAAGTGGAGTATGAAGTTTCTGATTCCAATGTCATTACTCCAGGCACAGAGTTTATGTGTATATTGTCTGAAAAGCTCGAAGGTTATATCAAGTCACGACTGAGTAATGATCCAGGCTGGAAGGAAATTCAGGTTTGATTAAATGTGCTAGATGTTACAAATGCACATAACACAAACATACATAGACACACAAACACACACACACACACACACACACACACACACACACACACACACATATATATATATATATATGTGTGTGTGTGTGTATGTACCTCAGAGAAGATGGGCAGAGTAGCTAAAATCATGCAAATGCTTCAACCTTTTTATCCTACCTAATATGGTTTTTACTTCAAATAGGTTATTCTTTCCGATGCCAATGTTCCTGGTGAGGGAGAACACAAGGTCATGTCTTTTATTCGCTACCAAAGAAGTATTCCTGGTTACAATTGCAACACTAGTCATTGCTTATATGGGCTGGTATGTTATGTATGCAGCTTCATGTTGATTCTGGGTGATCAAATATAAAAATATTTTCTCAATGCTTATTCATTTCAAAGCTTAAAGTATATTACTTCCATGCAATTCAATTCTCTCCAATCATTTTCTATTCCTCACTTCCAAGGTCCTACTTTTACATTTAGCCATTGATGTTGGCCTTGCAGGATGCAGATCTTATTTTGCTTACTTTAGCAACACATGAAGTTCATTTTTCAATATTGAGAGAGGTGAACGTTACTAAGCTTTCTCTTATTTATGCTTCTTTCTTTCCTCAAGGTAGATGGACAATCATCCATTGAGACAAGAACCTTTCATTTATGAGTTTTACCTTTTGTACATGAATACCGAAATATTCCAAGTGAAATGACATTCTGGTTGTAACAGAAGTGAGAAATGCTTACTAGTAAATTATGTTATGTATGTTTTTCTCTTCACTTAGTGCGCAATATCTTTTTGAGTTCTGTTTTGTTAGGATGTGCTCATACAAGAGCAGCAACCGGGCTTCCAATTTGCTTCAAAAACAAGCAGTCAAGTAGCTGAATCTTATTCAGTGAAGTCAGGAGAGTCGTTCAAAGATGTTAAGATAGAGGGTGCACCTACACTTAAAAGGCCATATGAGGTAGCTAGTCTTTGGTGTTATTACATTATATGACAATTTCTAGAAGAATTATATGATTAAACTTATTTCTGCTTTCTTTTCTGTTATGCTTGCAGTTTTTACATGTTTGGACCTTAAGGGAATATTTAGGGCTAGACATGAAAATGACAGACGCTCCTGAAAATTTTAGGTTTGATCTTGAGAGAATAATAGATGAATTTATTTTCCTGTGTTTTTTTGCGGGCAATGACTTTCTTCCTCGCATGCCAACTTTGGAGATTCATGAGGTGCATATCTTTCTTTTTTCTATTTTGAAGTACATGAACATTGTCAAAGATGAAGTAAGAGCTGCTTCTGTACTACTGCTTTCTATATAGGGAGCGATCGATTTACTAATGACTGTTTACAAGGAACAATTCAAGAATATTGGCGGATATTTAGTTGATATGGAACGGGTAATAACACCAGATTTGATTATTCTATTTTTTACTTAGTGCTCTTTTATTTTACAAGCCATTTGTTACCAAGTTGGCATGATCCCTATCAGGTTCAAGACAAGAAAGGAGGGTTTGTAAAATTAAAGAGAGTGGAGAAGTTTATTCTTCTAGTTGGCACATATGAGGAAAAGATTTTCAAGAAAAGATCAGAACTGCGAGAGCATAAACTTAGACGGCTTTGCCAGTATTCAGATATTGTAAGTGCTAGAGATTTGAATACACGGATGGTTTGATATTATAGGTCGTGGAAAAAAGCCTGCACTGCATCTATTAAACTAGTGCTGAATTATGTGTCTAGGATCAAGATGAAGAAATCAAAATTGAAGACTCAGATCTTCCGAGGAGTATGTGTAATAATTCCTCTGCCGATGAATACGAAGTAAGTTGTTACCTTCCAACAATTTTCTTTTTGTTCCCTATTTCGAATAATTGTCGTCACCTCCTTACTTTGAGAGATAACAAATCGGCTTTGGTTCCTTCTATTGTGATTGTCTATATCCTGGTGTTACCTATACCGTTTGTCTCTTTGCTTGATTTTGCAGCGTTTAAGAAACACAAAAGACTTGGAAGAAAAGTTGAAAGAGAATCTTCGTAAGAAATCGGATCTTTTCAAGAATGGGGATTTAGACACAGACAAAGTATGAACCACTCTTTTTGGAAATTATATTTTATTTTTTATCATATCATTTTGCTTAACTCGGAATCTGTTAACAGGTAAGACTGGGCGTTGCAGGTTGGAAGGAAAGATATTATGAACAGAAATTTTCTGCAAAAACAAAACAGCAGATAGAAATCATGAGGAAGGAAATAGTGTGTATTCTTATTATGAAATCTGTATTTTTTTTTCCTTTAGCACTGTATGAGCTGCATAGTATTTAGGCCATATCCATTGCACAAAGATGTTACAAATGAATCTAAATTGACTAATTCTAGGAACTTAAGACAGATGCATTAGTTTGTTAATGTAATCTTCTTCATCTCTGAAGGTTCAAAAGTACACTGAGGGTCTCCTATGGGTTCTTCTATACTATTTCTCTGGAGTGTCATCTTGGTCTTGGTAAGTGGTCATCTGAATTTGTCGGTTCTGGAATACATGCATATGTGAATGCATGTTTTAGAAGTAGTATTGCTACCAAAGTGATCAGAGATTCATGACTATTTTAGGTTCTATCCCTACCACCATGGTCCATTTGCATCTGATTTGAAGGGTCTTTCTCAAGTGAGAGCCAAGTTCAAGAAGGGTCACCCTTTTAAACCGTTTTATCAACTCATGAGTGTCTTGCCACCTAGAAGGTAAACCTTCCCCTTTCTCATACGGATTTTAACTTCTAACATTTAAGTTTTTTTTTTTTTCTACATTTAACTTTAAATTGATTCTTTTGCAGTGCTCTTGCACTTCCAAAACCTTATGCAAAACTGATTACTGACGCAGATTCCAGAATCATTGACTTCTATCCTACAGGTGAGTCCTGTTTTCTAGGATATAGATTGTATGCAGCTGATATCAGTGATCCTATTGAGGATCTCCTGACATTTTGTTCCTTTGTTTTATGCATAGATTTTGAAATTGACACGGATGGAAAGCGCTATGCATGGCAGGTTGGTTAAAATCTGCTTATTTGTGTCCTCTAGATTGAACCAAGCACATATCATGGCCAGTGCATTTCCCTTTCTCCCAGTTAATATTGCCTTCTTGTCTGATTAGCTATTAACATATCAAAATTTGGGTGAATTCTGCATTTAAAGGGAACATGCAAGCTTCCATTTATAGATGAAGAACGCCTTATAGTAGAGGTCAGAAGAGTAGAGAAGGAATTGACGGTGGGACTCCAAACCTTTTATATAAATCAATTATTGCACTTGTACATATTATAACTCCATATAAGACAAACACTTTCTTGACTTTTGCAGCCGGAAGAATCATCAAGGAATGTGGAAAAGTCTGATCAGCTTTTTGTATCAAGAAATTTAGGAACAAAGATTATGACACTTTTTCTAAAGGCATCCACTAATGAAAAAATTCATTTGGATGCTAATGTGAGGTCAGTCTATCACATTGTTTGATATGTAAATCCAATATATTTTAATACATTTCAATATGAGATTCTCGGAACCACAAATAAGCACTAGTTATTGTACCTAATGTAGCGGCTCAATTGGAGGGTTTGTATGGCTTCGCAATTATGACCATTTGACATCACCACCCGACATCTTGTAAGCCAATTAGAAATGAACATCAAACTGATGACTTTTGTTTTTAATATACACCCAAGCATGCAGAAATAACAGTGAAGTTAGCCCTCATACCTTCTCAATGTTGCAGATCACTGCTGTTTGAGCTCCCTGATGGAAACCCACATATTCCTCGCCCACTGGAGGGTGTAAAATATCCTACCAAGGTAACTTATCTCTTTGATTTATTATAATTATTAAATGCTTTTTCTTCAATGCATCATAATTTCTTTCATGATAATCATAGCACCAGGTTGTTGTAACCTTTAATTTGCCAATAGTTGGTAAGCTTGCAGCATGGCAGGCAGTTATGCTTTCATCTTTTCCCCCCCTTTGGTTTCATGCCCCAAAAATATGATGAAATATATTTAAAGAGAAAATGGGGCTTAGAAATGACATTTTCAAGCTATCTAAGCCTCTTAACTTGTTTACAGACAATTAGTGAAGGTGATATTCAGAAGACTTTACTATGGCATGAATACCCTGGCAGCAGACCACCATTTAACAGGTTTGTGTTGATTCAAAACCTACATTAGCTTTATCTTTCTGTGTTTGCCACACAGGACTCATTAGATAGAGTGTTGCAGACCACAAAGCCAGGTAACAGGTACAAAGGCCAAGACTAGCTCAAAGTTTCCTTCAAGCTCAACTGCTGAATGTCAACACAATCATATCAGCAGGAAGTTCTCATCAGACCAGATAGTTGAGGTGCATAAAGTTGCTGGTAATATTGGGTGGAGTGCAGGTAGGGGAGCATCTGTTTGTAATTTAAGCGTAGACAAAGGCATTTCAGATATGAAAATTTCTGAGTCCAGCCATAACTTGGGGTCATATGGACGAGCCCAGACCCCAACCAATACTTTCTGGCCATCAAGAAATGCTTCAACACAAAGCTTGAACCATTCATGGCGCCAGAGCTCACAGGCCAATACAAATACATCTAGTCAGAGTCTTGGAAAAGCTCAGAGGGACTCCAAAAATGATAGGAACTCTGCATGGCAGATAAACCCATCAAAAGCGACAGTTCAAGGTCAAGGAAGGGGCAAGTTTATTCCTTCAAATTCTGCCTCTAAATGGCATTCTTGAGACTTCATAAGCAGGTTTTCTTAGGGAAACCATAGCTGTTCCATACAATATTCTATTGTGAATGGTTTGTGATTAAACACGGTATACATTTGGGAACAGAGTTTTAATCCAAGAGCTTGACATGGAAAATACTTTAGTAAGTATTGTTTTTCCAATATTAAGCCTTTTTGGTTTTTTTTTTCTCTGCTTTCGGAAACAAAAAAGAAAATGTTTTTGAAGGTGAAGGAATCAAATTTTTTACAAATTAAGAATTAAACTTAAAATTGCGTGCTTAATCAGTTTTTATCGTGGCAAAAAAATAATCTCTAGTATTTTTTAGTAAAACAAAACTGCAACACACTCTGTGACCCAAGACCCCCACCCCAAAAGGGAGTAAGTGTTTCCAACAGTGACTAGTGTTCTCCAGTAATGGCATTGAGTATAATTTGATTGCTGAGAAACCAGCCATCTTTATCATTACAATATCAAATTGCTATTATTTGAAACCAACAACTTGCAATAATTAGCTAAGGAAACATAATCATGTTACGAAATAAATGGCAAAACAAAAATACACCAACTCTAATTTCCTCCTCTTTTCCTTCCCTAATTTTCTCAAGAAACAAGCACTTCTTTACCGAATTGAAATAAGTCCCCTACCACCACCACTTCCAAAAATTGAACAAAAAAAAAAATTTGAAGATCAATATGAAACATAGATTTTTTACTATATACATAACTGTTGCTTTAATCCTAACCTGTCATTCCTCAAATCATACTCCACATAATAATTCTGCATCTGAAAACTCCCCAATACCACAGCTGGTCCACTATGCCCCACTTCACCCTCTCCTCCACCGACACCACCATCCGTCACCACCGTCAAACACGCCACCCCATCTCCAACCACCGCAAAAGAATTCTCTAGCGGCAGTGCCATCTCAGCACCTCCTTTAAGATGCAACCTCAACTCAGGAAACTCCACCGGTTTCTCCCCACCCTTCACATCAAAACAAGGCCTCAATCCCGTTAAAACCTCAACATCACGAGATCTACTGTAATTCTTAACTTGTTTTATAAATTCTTCAGCTACAGGCTCGAATATCTCAGGTGCCATGAACGTGAAAGTCGAGCCGGAATCCACTATAGTGCCGCCATCACCATCATTTCCCGGCGAAAGATATTTGTAGGGAACCTTAACGTGGCGGCCACCTACTGTTATCTTCCTTAAACCAATGTAGTAGTAAACTTGGAACGATTCTTTACCTTCGACAATTGGGTTTTTTAGAAACGGTGTGTAGGTTAAACCTTTCGTTTTCTCATCAAAATCCGAGTTACCATCAAGTATCAAAGTGCTGCTACTAGTAGAGTCATCGAAACGGCGAGAGATGAGACAGTAAGAGAACTTACGTAGCTTAAGTTGAGTAGGTAAAGAAGGAAGGCCACGGCCGAAACCAGCAACGCCAGCGGGTTGGCGAGAAGAGAAAATAGAGCATCCAACTAAAAAGTCGGGTACAGTTCTATCTCCAAGATTCAGGGTTTCTGATAATGCAACGCCTGCCGTGGTTCCTGAGCCATAGAGGATGAAGTAAGGGGGACAGTTTTGAGTGCAGTTTTTGGGAGTTGAGTTTTTTCCACATCCATCGCATTGAGTTGCGTTCGTGTGGTGGATCCAGGAACATTTCGGGTTTTGGCAGCTAACAAGTTGAGAAGATGAAGATTGTTTAGGGATAAAAGTAGGGATGTTGTTTTTGGAGGGAGAAGAGGAGCAGTTTTTGCAGACATAGCGATGAGTACAAGGGAACCAAACGATGTCACTGCCGGTGTCCATGACGAAGGGGAGGGCTTGAGGAGGAGTGCCAAAGCTGAGAGAAATGGAGTAGCCTCCATAGCTATGGGAAAAGAGTGGGGTGGTAGCGGGGGAAGCACCTGCCTTGGTGGTGGTTTGGGGGTGTTTGAGGTGATGCGCTCTTGCTAAGGAGGAAGAGACAAGGTATTTGAGAGTCAGGTATGTATCTCGAGACGAGTTGGTATGGAATTGTGTGAGTGGTAAATGCAAAGCAGGGGAGATGATGGGAAAAATGCAGAGCAGAAAAGATAAGAAACAGAGAACACAAGGAGGAGGAGACATTGTTTACTTTTTTCTTGCTTTTTGGGCAGCAAAAAAATTTATTTTTGTTGAAGATTCTCTTTCGGTGTAGAGAGATGAGCTTACTTTAATAAAAGCGAAAAAGTTTGATGAGTTAGTTTTGGGTGTTAAATTTGGCTCAACTGTGATGAAATAAAACTGTAGAAGAACAATGTTTTGACGGCCATGGATGGATGGTGCATGTGCTCGGGCCATTGTAAGGGAATATGAGAGGTCAGGATAATCTTGTGATTTCAACCAGGAGAATGTGACGGTAGCTAAGGTGCCTTCACTCAGCTGGGGTCTTGTGTATGCAAGAAAAGCACGTGCGCGATAGAACCGCGGACAGTCGGAGGAGATTACTTATTCTACTGTCACCATCTAGCCAACCAGCCAGGCTACCAAGCTCTAAACCTGTACCTGCCCCCATGTCGCCTTGTCCTAAAATTAAAATAACGTCGTTTTTCCAAACAAAATTCAAGGTAGGCTGTTTAATACTTTAATCGAGACTCTACTATGACCTTTTATAATATATTAAAGTTTTAATTTTTTAAAAATAAAATGTGTTAAAGTCTTGTAAAACAGTATATCAAAAGTTTCAAAATTACACTTTTTATATTACATTTATCATCAAAATTTTATATTTAGTACACAAACTATAAATTCTATGCACAGTAATCAAATCATATAATGTTTACTTATTATCAAAATTTTTACAAACCCTCTAACGAAAATATCCCAATTAGTTGAAATTTTTATTTGATCTTGTTTTGTGTTTCATTTTAATTTCCATTTTGGGTTTTACCATTTTAAGTTTTAAACTAATACATCTTTCTTCCTTTTTTATTTTCTTAGGAAATTTGCTAATTATGTAACAATTAACGCTAATTCTAAACTGAGATGCAATTTAAAATTCAATGAGAACAAAATGAAAGTTTTCTTAAAAGTAATTTCTTGATTCGCATTATACAACAAAAAAAGTCTTTAGTCTCTCACCATTGTAATTTGTGAATCCCTCTTTGGAGAGAGGAAACCAATCATTGTTCTTTAGCCCTCTTGCGTGCCAGAAAACGTTCTCTAGCTGCAGCAACTGCAACTTCACCTCTTTTATGATGGTCACGCTTAGGTTGATCAACTGATGGTTGTTTCTCTGACGAGCTCTCTGGCGCTGCGGTGTCTGGAATCTTGGGACTGATCGGCCTAGAATCTTGGGACTCACGGTTTACTGGAAAACTTGTTTCATCCAGAGTCCGATCAGTCAAACCAGAAGACTCTGGAGCATTTGAATCAAGCAACGGCTGAACTCTGTTGGATACATCTATCTCTTTCTCATCTTTCTTCTCAGATTTCCTTAATTCATTCTGCATTTCTGGCTTCCTTGGCCCAGCATCATTCGCCCCAAATGCAACATTTTTACGAAGGCTGAAGTAAAAATCACTCAAGTCACTCTTCTTGGTAACCTTTAAAACAACAAAATGACCATCAATCAGGTAAGTTAAAGCATCAGTAATCTAGGAGTTATACTAAAGCAATCACAACTAGATCCAAGAGAAAAGAACATCACGGAAATCGATGATGCAGAAGAACAAATACTCTATTCATTTATATACACACATTAAGATTAAATGCAAATCATGTATTCCAGCTTCCATTTCTTGCATTGAGCAGACTCTTAAAACATGTGAAAATTTATTATCCCTTCAAAAAATTAGAATTCTAGCCAGTGGATACACACGAACAACAATTTCCCTCGTGAACTTCAAGTTAAAAGTAGGGCTGTAACTGAACTTAGCCAAGCCAGTATTAGCTTGTTTGGACTCGGCTCATCTAAATTTAAACAAGCTTAAATAGAGCACTGAGCTCAAGTTGAGTTTCAAAAATGTTGTTCAAACTCGGCTCAATTAGTTAACTGAGCTTTTAAATGAACTCGAGCACTTAACAACGAGCTTTTAAAAAATGCCACTAAAATTGATTTTAAATCTCAAATATCAAGGAATTGAAAATCAAACAATTACTGCTGTCAGCCTACTAATAACAGGCCGGCTATCAAGGATCCAATTGGTCCCTCATATCTCATGGTGGGTGATGTAAAGAGGGGAGGGGCTTATTTAAGGAGGCAGCCTTCCCCTTTGCTTTGTTTTCCACCAATATGGATTATTAAATAATCATATCCTAAAAAAATGAAGGATTTTTAATCTACATTATGCATACTTTATAATGATATAAATGTTAAATCATGATCCAAATTGTATTAAAAGATGTTAAAGCTAAAATGAACCTACTTGACAAGAACAAAATATACTATTATCAAAATTGTTCATGAACAACCTATTGAACTTGTTTGTGAATATAAACGACTTAAGATTACTAATGTTTGAACTCTGTTCATTTATTAAACGAGCCTTAGAATCTTGTTCAAGTTCACATTCAAGAATAGTTTGACAAATGCTTGGTTTGTTTAAACCCCTAATTAAAAGAAAGGTATTATCCCTTCAAGTTAATGCTGACTGCATTTAGGCTTATTCTAGATTGAAAAAATAAGCTGAACATGTCTAAGAAAGTATGACCATTCACTCTTTAACCACCCATTAAGGTTTTTCACCTTTCAGTCATTGTTACCATAAAACATGCCAGCATCAAAAAGAAAATCATAATGCAAAAGTAATAAAAGACCACTTTCTCATCAAATGTTTCATCCTAGATTATGATTCAGTTTGGGATATAATGTTTCTAAACACAAAATGTTTCTAAACACAAAAACAAAAGCTTCTCAACCTAACTGATGCAATGGTACTAGCAAAGAAAACAATATGAATGAATAGGAGGCTTTAACATTATTAAAGGGGTAGCATTATGGTAATATATGACAGAGAACCTAAACCTCCTTCTCGAACAAATCTTTTCCTAGATAATTCGCTTTCAAAGAATCTTCAAAACTTGAGCCAGTAATGGCTTATAAGAGGTAAAGAGGTGAAGATTAAAGAAGTTCACTTGGAGTTGAATCAAGGTAAACCAGTGACATCAGTAAGATGTAATAAATATATGAATGATAAAATTTAACATGTAAGTAAGCAAATAAAATAACATCTAAAGTATAGAAAGTACTATAAAAGGTTTCAGATTTTGATATGCATTGAGAGGAAAAAATGAAATGTGAGGATGGACTAATGTAAATGCTGGCATGAGAAAGCTTATTTTCTTTGTAGTCATAAATCCATGATGAAACAATATGACGGACGTTCTGTCAGAATTAAAGTGGAGGGAACGGAGGATAGAGCAGAAAGAAAGGAGAGGAGAGGGAATAATTCCCCTTATTTGATTTGCTTAAGAAATTATACAGGAAAAAAAAAAAGGGAGTACGTTTCCCATAAACACTATAGGAAGGAAAGTATCAAATTGCTAGATTTATTCAAAAACATTAGATCTTTAACGAAACCTGGGAATGAATAAAGAAACTGAACCATGAATTCCAGTAAATATTGCAATTCTCACTCAATAACATATTGATGCCCGTTTGTCAATATGACCTACTATGGTCTACAAGAGAAACAAATTCCTAAGAAAGATATTACCGTAGCAAAGCCATTATATGACCTACCATGGTCGACAAAATTGAAACTATATTTGTTTCCTTATTAAGGCAAAAACTTCGAGGCTGTCATTCTCATAATAGCAAAGCACTTGCATGGGATGCTTATAAGAGTAAAATGGAGTTGAAAAAAGTTTATCACTTCAGCATTTATTTATCTTATCAATTGGTGTCAAAAGATCATCAGGTATAGCCTTTTATAGATCATTGGAAACTACTATGAAAATAAGATACCAAAAAACCTGCCTAAAGCTTCAATTAGCCCAAGGGACAGTATGGAAATAGACCAAAATTGATTTTCCCTTTGATAGTGGTATAGCAAACAATCACCACAGTGCTCGTATGCATGCAAGTACATATGAGCAAATGCTATGGTACTGATTCACACGTCACGTACTTGGAGCAAGGAAAGGACTAGTTCAAAGAAATATACCCATTTCAGCAAACAAAAACACCTAAACAATTTGCTAATGCAGAACACATGAATCAACAGATCTAGAAATACAACAGCAGTGCTAAACCCCACCAAAATTACTAACAATTCAGTCAATCATAGGTGGAATAATATTAAAAAAAGAAAAGAACCAAACCCAGTAAACAAAGAAGTGACAAGTAACGATACATGAAGTTGAAGAAAAGGCTCAACTTACATCATCTTTCTCCTCTTGAAGTTGACGTAAGCGCTCCTCCTCCATCCATTTTGCCTGCTCAGCAAGTTTTTTCTTGTAGGCACTGGTCACAAACTTATCCTTGTCCGCATAAAGGTGATCCTCTTTACTTCTCTCTTTTGCAAGCTTCCTCTCATATACTATCTCCTGCTCCCACTTTCGTTGCTCCGCTTTTTTTATTAAATTATGAATATATTTCGGCTGAACGAAATAGCCAGCATTCTCATCAGTGATTAATCCTACATTATATTTTAAGCAAATATTTGTATAAATTTATGTATGCTATCTTCGTATACAGATTTACATGGAAAAAATTAAAAAAAAAAAAAGACAGAATAATTAAGTTTATTACAATCAAATAATCCTAGAGACCAAAAAAAAAAAAAAAACCCTTCAAATTTGTTAGAAAAATTTACCTTTCGTTCCTCGCGATCTTGAGCGCGGGGACGAACAACCTTCTCTTTCATCTCATCGTAAACTCCATCATAATCAAATACTGAAGGATCTTCCTCTAACGCTTTCTTATGTTGCTCCTCCATCTTTAAAAAAAAAAAAAAAAAAGAGAGAGAGAGACAAATTTATGTTAAATTCTATGTTAAAAACTCTAAACAAATGGGAAAAAAGGAAATCAAGGTGAATCTTACATCCTTCAGAGATTTGTTCTTGCTAGCCTGCCGAGAAATCTCTCTCTCCACGTCGTCGTCATCGTCGTCGCGGAAGCCGAGAGGAGGAGGGAGAGGCGGTCTTGTCTCCGGCTTTTTCTGCTGTGAGGGTTGAACCCTAAGCTGTAGACCATATTTCTTCATTTTTTATCATAATAAAATTTTGATGCAACCGTTCGGCGTTAGCCAATTACAAGGGCGTTTAGGCCTTCCACTTCTAGTACAACAATTTCACAACAATTAATCTCAAATGTGCTATACATCAAAATTTTACATGGACCTCGGGGGCGCGCGTATATATAGATATATATATATACACCTATATATATATGTATATTAGAAAATTTGTCCAGTTACGAAATCAATTTTTAATTCTAAAATAATATTAATTATTTGAATTTGGTGTATATATATTTTTATTTATGTATAAAGATATAAAAATAGTATATTTAAATATTTAAATTTTTATTTAAGATTTTTTAGATAAATATTTTTAATTATTTAATTTCATGTCATAAAAAATGAGTAAATTGATATATTTTAATAAGTTTTCTTTTCTAAACAATTTTTAAGGAAAATAAAAGGCGAAGCCTAAGTGAATGAAAATTATTTTTCAATAATGTCTTTAATTTTTAAAACAATATAAATTGTTTGAAGTTAAGTATATATATATATATATATATTTATATATGACGATATAAATAAATATAAAGTACAACATTAATTAAAAAAGAAAAGTAATCGTTAATGGACTAATTAATTGACACTAATAAAGCAATTACAAATATTTTGTAATTTTTTATTAAAATATTTTTATTTTTAAATTTTTTTCATTTTTTTGTTATTTTTTCTCCAAAAGCTTCTTTACACTTGTCAAGCAATTATTGATATTTTATAATTTTGTTATAAAAAAGTATTTATCAAAAGGTATTTTTATTAAATTTTAAATTTTTTTATTTTTTTGATAAATTTTTATCCAAAAGCTTCTTTATATGAAGCTTTTCACTTTTTTAAAAAAATTATAAACAATTTAGTTTTATTTTTATTTTTAATTAGAATAAATATATTATTAAACATCCAATTATAAGATGATAAATATCATCAAATTGGATGTCCTTACAAATATCAATAGATTCGGAGATTATTTTTTTATTTAATGGTGAAGGGCTTTTAGGTTATGTCTAATGCATATCTTTTTAGGTTTCTACAAGTAAGTTTATTCACGTTTGGTCTAAAAAATTCATGATAAATTATTTTTTTATAGATGCCTAACAAATTCGAACTTAAGTAAATAATAATAATAATAATAATAACATATTTTTCTACTATTTGAATTAATTATCTATTGATAAATTAAAAATTACTTTAAACGATAATTAAAATTTAAAAGAAAAATTAATTGAAAGATAATTAATAAGTGACAATGAGAGCTTGAATTTAAAAATTATATAATGATGAAGTTGAGAGATTGCTTTTATATAGAGAGAGATGGATTAAGTTATAAAAAATATGTTTATATTTTATGTTAATTATTAATTTCAATAAACCAAAAGAATGAAATATATAACTAAAAAAAAATCTTATCTCTTAAATTTATTTAAATCAATAATTAAAAATATATAAAATTAAATGGTTTTATACTATTGTAAGTTAATTCATCCCTTATATATATATATATATATGCGTGGGTTTTAATAAATTTTTATTATAATTAAATAATAAAATATTAATAAAAATTATCTGTGAATTATTTTCATTTTCACTTCATTTTTATTTAATTATATGTTTTTATTAGTGTTAATTTTTGGCAAAAAAAGTACACTTAATAAGTTCATACTATTGATCTCTTTAAAAGTTATGTACTTTTTTATTTTAAAGAATTTTAATTTATGTACAAGACTAAATTATAATAAAACATTTATCAATGAAATATTTATTCCATAGTTTCATTCATAAAAATATATAATAGATTAAAAAATTATTTATTTTATTATCAAAATATGTGATTGAATTTGATGTCACGAATTAAATAACATCAATCAATTTAAAATTTACTTAAAATGCAAATTAAAGTTACTATAACAAAATGAAATTAAAATTATTTGTAGTTTTATTACGTAAAATGAATTTTTTTTAATTGATAAATTTACTATAAAAAAAATGATGATATAACATATTAATATTAGTAGATCGACATACAAATGACGTGGTATGAAGTCCTTGTATAATGATTTCAAGCTTTAAAATGTTGGTTTAAAAACATTTAAAATTGAATTTTATTATAATATATAAATTTGTATTTAATATATTATATAACTATTATATATTAAAATTTTAATTTTAAATATATTTATTTTTTAATATTTTAATATTTATAAAATATTGCCACGTGATTTGTTAGCTGTGTATAAATTCATATATTTACATTATATCAAATATAAAATTTTAAAATAATTAAAATAACTTGTTATGATTAACATGCTAATTGTGGTAAGTGAAAGCTAATTTAGAAAAAAATCATAAATTTTGTATTTTTGCCCCAGTCGCAACAAAAATGAGGACTTTTTACAAACAGTCGGATGATCTGAGAATTGGATTTTTAATTTCAATGATTATGGGTTAAATTCCACAGCTTCAACCTTCAATCATAAAAAGAGAAATCGTTTTAAGGCCCCATCGACTCATGAGCCTGGTCTTTTTTGTCATCTCCGGCTCATCTCATCTCTCCGTTGGCAGCTACTCAGATCATTGACATACCTGATTAGTACTTTCTCAAAAGCCCAAATTGCACATTTTTTTCCTTTTAATCTAAATTGTTTATTGATAGGTTTATTTAGAAAAACTCAAAACTTCATGCCTGTTGAGCCAATTTTTATGATTGTTATTATCATTGGGGATTAGGGAACCATCTTTAATTATCATGTTTAAATTGTAAAGTTAGAGGAAATTTACTAGGATTTGAGAGCTGAGTGGTGGGTTTTGTGTCCTACCAAACATGGTGTTAATAGTGATTGGAATATGAATCCCTGTTTGCTGCAAGATGCTTAGATTTGCTATTAGCTTCTCAGTGTTCCAGTTTAAACACCGAGGGATCATATTGGGTCCCCGATGGGGGGTGTGATGTGACCGGATTTTTTCATTGATATGTTGCTTGCAGCCGTCAGCGAGTTCCGTTTTCTGATCTTCATAGTTACTTTGGGAAGCACACTTCTAGTTTTGCAACTGAATAGACTTAAAAAGTTCAAAATTTTCATGAATAGAGCTTCCTCAGTTTACCACCTATATTCTTGGCGTTACTTACATGCCTTTTCTTTTGACAAAGGTTGGGATTTTTTGGTGACTAATTTGCAAAACAGGAGCAATATGTCATCAAGTAAGAGCATGAGCTTTTTGTTCTACATTTCCTGTAAGGGAGAGCTGCTGCTGAGTACTTTCAGTTTTGTTCTGGGTATAATGGTTTAATTTTGGGTATAATATTAAAATGGGCGAATGTATTGAAAGATCCTCAAGGAACAAGTATTGAGACCTTGCCATTACTTTTATTGTTTTAACGTAAAAAAAGGCTAAGCGGCAACGAGGTTACTTTGCATGTATGATCTGGAAGAGAAGCAATGTCCAAATCCCTGCAGTCAGTCGGATTGCATTCACTGTCCATGGATGTCAATTGACAACTTGTTCACTTTGAGGATCAAAGGATGTACAAAATTTTGCCCCCTCTCTAGGCTAGTTTGATGACCAGTATGCTTACGAAGAAGCAATGGATTCTTCTCTGGTCTGAGCATTAATTTATGATTTCAAATATCTAAAATCACCAAATTAGTGCATTAGCTTTGATCATGTTATTTCCATTATATGCTATCTCTTGTTTTTTACTCCAAGTTTCAGTCATTTCGATAGAGGTCAAAAGAACTCTTGTTATTCTAGTATCACTACAAAGCTGTAGGTACATCTTTGTATAAATTTATTGCATCCTCATGGTCTGAGGGGACAAGCATTTATCCATGGTTCGAAATGGATAATCAAATACAAATAGGTTTATATTTCTCTTTTAATAGATTGATCTGGCCCATTTATTCAAATAGGGAGGAATATTTTGCTCTATCTCAAGCTTATGAACTTCGAATTGGAAGGTAAATTGAAGGTATACACTAGCTATATGAATTATGTTTCTGTTATAAATGGTAACAACTCATGTTTGCAACGTGGACCAGATCCTGAAGGGAAATTCTTTCATAATTCCGTATTGATGGTTTCATGATTTTGGTTTGACTTGTTGCTTTTGACTCATGAGATGCAAATCCTCTTCATTAAAATTGATAGTAGTAAGAGTTCGTTTTTATAGACAGACAATATAATTTTTTAATTTCATAAGTAAAATTAAGAAGTTATTATATGTTTTTTTTAATTTATTATTACATCCTAAGAAATATGTGTTATTAGGTTAATTTTACGTTGGGAGTCTAAAAATTTTATGTCGGTGGATGTGATAATTTTTTTTTTAAACTGAATGTAGGATGATAGGGAAAAAAAAAAAGAAGAAAAATTGAAATTAGGATTATCAAATATTAAAATTTTTTAAATAAAAAATAGTTAAAATTTAAAAAGAAATTAAATGATCCTTAAGTCTAGTGATTAAAAATACTTGAAGGAACATTAAAGGTTTAGTCTTGAATTAGACCTCCATTCCTTCTCCTTACTTATACCAGAGATTTGCCCTATTAATGTAACAAAAAAAATTAAATGGCTAAGAGATAAATCCAAGGAACATTTAATGAAAAAATTGTCAAATATACTGATAATGAAATTTTTAGACAAAATTAAGAGAGTAACACATATTTTTTAAGGTATGTTTTAAAAAATTAAAAATAAAATAAGACATATGTCAAAATTTTAATATTGCTTATAATATTTATATTAAGTTTCTTAGGTGAAATTTATGAAATTTTTTATTAAAAATGAATCAATAAAAATTAAAATTGATAAATTAATAAAATTCAAAAAAATTTAATAATATTTAAAAATTATTAAAAAGATTATTTATAACTCAAATTTAATGACTATTTATTCAACGATAAAAAATTCTATTAAAAATTTTACCAAAAATTTATATCTAAAATATATATATAATTTTATTAATTTTTTTTAAACTTTATATATTTTGAGCTATACAACAAGATTTTTCAATTTATTAATTTTGATTTTTAATTTTAATTTTTATTAAATTATTTTTAATAAAAAATTTCATGATTTTCACTTAAATCTTTCTCTCAAATATTAACTCCACTCAACAATTATATTTTGAAATTATTTAGTATAAAGTTAAAAAAAAAGAAGAAGTTGTGATAAAATAAATAATTTCAAAAAAATGTGTAATTAAAATAATTTAAAATGATGAATAAACGTCGGCTTGATTGATAAAAAGTTTTTTCTTCTCTTAATTGACTCAAGTTTGAATTTATTAGAAAATTATAAAAAAAATATCATAAATTTTTTAAATTCGACGTAAATAAAGATGCTTAAATTTATCCATGAAGAACCAAATCTAAAAATTTCTAATAAAAAAAATAAAGAGCTTTAGTTTTGTTTGGATCCAACATTCAACTCAACCTCCTCCAGCGTAACGTTGATAAACCAACCAAACAGTACCCTAACTAAGTGGCGCGGGCGGCTAATCGTGTGGAAAGTGACAGATAGGGTTTCGGTTGGTGAGCTTATGCGCGCCAAATAATCGCCCACTTTATTGCCCTAAACTAAAGGCGCGAATCGCCGATTCGAACCTCATTTTTTTTCCTTATTTTTATTTTTATTTCTTTGTGTAATTAATTTACCCTTTTTTTTAAAACTAAAACCTCACTTTTTTTACCGTTCTTTCGTCGGGTAATATTGCGGTTAAAAACAATTCATCACGGCCTAGAAATCTCTAATTTCGTAAAATTTGAGAGAAAGAACAAATTGTTATTAATCCAAAAAAAGGACCCTTTTAATTATGGCTTTTTTTTAAATGGCGGGAATTTCTCAAATAAAATAAGATAAAAAATATAAAATGACAACTTTTGGAAATCTTTAAGCAAAATTTTTATTTTTATTCTAATTTAATTTGTATTTATGGTGTATTTTTAAACGGAGAAATGTATTTTTGTAATTTAATGATTTATTATTAAATTAAATAATTAATTATAATTGCTTCCCTCCACATCTATATCCGAGCCAATATTTCCTCCCTTCCTTCAGTGTCTCTTTTTTACTTCTATTATTTTTCCCTCGTTTTGTTCTCACTTTCTCTCTCCCGCTTTTTTCATTTACTTTCTTCCCAAACACCAGATCTACTCTCAATTCCCACCATAAGAGCTCCCCTTTCCCATAATTCCGTTACCTTCCCTCCTTATCTTTCCTTCAAACAAACACCAAAAAACTCTCAGATTCTTTCATTTTTCTTTTCTTTTTTAATTTAATTTTTAGTTTTGATGTGATGTCGGGTTCTCAAGCTTCGGAGCAATTAAAGCAGTCAATTCAGCAACAACAGCAAAATCAACATTCACTGAAACGACAGCTACATTTCTCTATGAAGCCGTCGTTTGTGGCTCCTGGAGGCGACTATCACCGCTTTGCTTCAACTGAGCCTTGCTGCATCGCCGATCAAGAAGCCGAAGCCATCGTCGTTAAGTCCCCTGTAGGTTTTTTTCTGTCCTCCGTTTCAAGTTTTTTAATTTAAGGGTTTATTTTTGTTGTTGATCATGGGGATTTGTTGAGATCTGATTTGGTTGTGATTTGGGGAATGAATTTTATGAATTTTGATTTTTAGTAGCTGGAATTACAATTTATGGGGAAAATTGTGTGGTTGAAACTTTATTTCGGCTTTTAGTTGATTGGGGGTTTGTGTGGTTTTTTTAATTGGGAATTTTGGCGGGTTTTGGTGAAATTGGTTTATGATGGGGTTAATTATTGCCTTAATTTGGTATTAGGTTTGATTTGAATAAATAGGATTTTATTAATCCAGAAAAGAAATATAAAGTCAGGAAATTCAATGAAGAATCCAGGAAGAAAAAGAAGTCCAACGACTGAACAAGAAAACGAAACAAAAGGGAAAAGCAGGCTCAAACATCAAATTTCTAAAGCCTAAAGCGCTACTGCTGGATATTCGAGTAAATGCCCTGGCTTATTCAGAATTTTGTTACTAGAATTATCTTTGACTGTCATCAGACTACTGGTTCTGGTCATGATGTTTGCCACATTAGAATTAGAAACAACGTTGCAGCTTCATGCAAACATGGTTTAAGTAGAAGCTGGCTAAAACTTGCTCCTTGGGCAAGTAACAGCCCACTTTACCTGTGTCGATTTTACTCATTTGTCTTTTTTGTTTGTGAATCTGTAATGCTGATAGGAATCAATAGTGTTGTGAGGAGTAAAAGTTCTAGAAGTTTCGGTTGTTTAAACAAAGGGTTATTTGCGTCAATATTAAGCTTTTTATTATTAGATTCATCATGTGACAATTTCTTGTAATGTTAGTATGACTTTTTTTATAACTGTACTTTACCTTCTTTTTCTGAGCAACATGTGACCATTCAGCTTCGTCACTCTGAAGAATTAGTTTCTGCTAAATAATTCTGGCTTCAAGATTTGGCTGTTTGACTTAGTTGGCTCTTCCTTCTTAGATAATTCTTTTACAACCAGTGTTTTGAACATATGAGAGAGATATTGAAGTTAAAGGTTTTGACAATTATGAAAACTAAGAATTTGGTTACTTGGTTGAAATGTCCTTGTTGGCTGGAAGTATTAAGAAGAATATCGTTCAGAAGCCATTTTTCGCGTCCAAGTTTAGGTGTGATTGGAATATAGCAATAAAAGAAGATTTACTACCATCATGATGTATATCATGAATGATTTTGTGAGGGTTCTGGAAAATATCTGGAAAATAACCTCTTCTTTCTACATGTAAGGGGCAGAAACATTGATAAATATGGTGAACAGAGAAAGCTATCCATCGTGTGTCACTTTAGCTATGCGAGTCACATACTATATTTGATGTTGACTGGGGAATAGAGCTTCCTCCTTTTGATGGTTGCAGGAAAGGTATAGATGTATAGATTGGTTTTTGGAGGTGGTGGGTTGCTGGAAAGAACAGAGTTTCAGTCTATCAATATATTCAGGAAAGATCCATTTCAGTTAAGATGAAAATTAAACAGGCAGAGAAGTCAGCTGAATCACAGATGCCTGTCATTGTCATTGCAATGAAGGCCTTTTCAGTTGCTTGATTTGAGCAAGTTGATTGGTTTATGATGAATGGCTGGTGCATAATTTGAAAACAAATAAACTACAGTTCCTGCAGGGTGCACAATGATAATCATGATTCAGAAGAGTCATTGCAAGTTGTTTATGAGCATCTAATGGATGGGTGGGATTTACTAGATATTTTTTGGAAAGTTCAGTAACCTTAGCAAGGTAAGTAGTCATCAATGATGCCAATTTTGTGCTCCAAAAAACTTGTCAATAGATTTTTATGCGTTGGTTTTGTAGGGAAGACTATTTAAGAGGAAAGTAGGTATTTAATGTTAATGATAGTGGAAAAGTCTTTAGTAATTGATTTTGGTGCGAAAGGTTTTGACATGTGCATTAAGCTCTTCTACATGGTTTACTTCTTGACTTCAGAAAGATGCAGTTGGTCTGACATCTATCAATTGAAAGTAAAATCTGCTTAATTAGTATTTCCATTAATTCTGTTGCAGACTTTGTTTGGTTACACCATCACATAACATCTGCGCCTAGTAAGTAAATCAAGCCAAATTCGGGGTTGGTGCTTTTCTGTATAGATGAAGGCCGGCAGAATTATTAAAAACTGATTTTTCTTGCTGAGATCTGGGACAAATTTATCATGCTACAGGTTTGATTTTGTGTGTGTAGGTTAGACTGTTAGAGTATTCTTTGTCTGCAGACCAAGGGTCATGGTTGAAGGAAATTGTGAGAATCATTTACTTTCAACACTTTGATCTTGCTTACTTTCAATAAGGTTATTACTTATCATAACCTTATAAAGGGACAAAGTTTTACACGTTTTCTGCTGAACTGTTTGTCGCTGTATTTACAAGGAGCGTTTAAGTTGAACTGTGGCCAAAAAAAGTTAAATGGTTTCTTGGTGTTTTAAATACATATAGAATTATGACAGTGAGAAGCTTCTCCAATAATTTGTTTATCATAATCAAAACACTGACAGTAACGGTAACTTTAGACTTGGTGAAATTATTATTAGTACATATTTCTTTTCATGTATCATATATGTAATTACAGTTTATCTATTGGAATCACTATAATTTAGAGCCTCTCAAGTTTCCGTGGATTTTTGTGATTTCCTATAATAGCTGCTAAGATGCTGAAAAGCGTTATAAGTTTTGCTGACTGAAAATTAATTTCACTAAGTGAAGGCATAATTTGATTGCAACTTTACAAGATATCAGAATACTGTTGCTGGGTAAAATTTGTGTACCACATAATCTGGTGAAAATGCAAGTGCATAATGCTCAATTGGCTAAGCTAAATGTTGGAGGCCTGTTTAGTTTTCAAGATCACCTATTCATCCAATAAATGATGAAATTTTATGTAAAATGCTACAAGAAAGAAACAGACAGGCTGTGAGGAAATTTTGATGGAAGCTTGAGCTTACCAATGTCTTTGAGATTTTGTTAACGGTCTAGACCGTTCTTCAGACTGCACCAGGATTGGGGGATTCCAGCAAAATTTTCAGGAAAACTTGGATAGCATAAGGGTAGTATGTCATTATGCTAATTAAATGATTGTCCCTTTGAGGATGCTGATTGAGCTTGTTTGTAAGAAAGCATAGATTTACAATAATTCTCTTAAAATTTAGGTAATATCTTATGATAAAATGAAAAGATAATAAGGTTATAATTCTTCAATTCACTCACAATTAGTTTTCAGTTACGAGGCAAGTGGTTGTGCTCTTTCAGTTTGGAGGATCACCATAGATTCAGTTATTGGTACTATGTTTGTCATTAACAACTTAGTCATATGATGATTTGTGGAATGCAGATGGTTGCTGTTTCAGATAAAAAGGCTGAGCTAGTTTAGAACATATTGATCTTAACTTACGAATTGGGTAATAGAAACTGTCTACTGCACTTGGTTGAAAGGTAATAGTTTTCACCCTTGTTGCTTGTTAGGAGGCACTAATTTTTGTTTGTAGTTAATGATTATGCTCTTTCAGTTTGGAGGATCACCGTAGATTCAGTTATTGGTGCTATGTTTGTTATGAACAAGTTAGTCATCATGATGTTTTGTAGGATGTAGATGCTTGTTGTTTCACATAAAAGGGCTGAGCTAGTTTAGAGCATATTGATCTTAACTTACCAATTGGGTATTCGTAACTGTCTACTGCACTTGGTTGAAATATACCCTTTTTTTTCCCTTGTTCAGTTTTTGTCCTATCTGAAGGTTCTAGTCTGATTTGACGATGTCAGCAAATGCAGATGCCCAGTCTGTCTTTCTAGGTGCATGGTTCTACTTCTTGTAAATAAATTTCCTATATATTTTTCCAGCCAACTTACTTTTATCATCCAATATTATGCTTTTCTTGAATGGAGCCTGAAGTTTCTTTCTTCTTGATTAATTTTGTGCAACAAAATGTATTTGCCCATGTTTCTAATTGCTATTTGAAAATATTATGTGGTATATCAGTTAAAGAGGAAGAGTGATGTAGTAGATCGAGAAGTTGAGTCTGGTGAGTGGGCAATGCCTCAAGGATACACTGAAGTGGTTAGCAGTTCTCTCCAGACACCTGTGTCAGGAAAAGGGGGAAAGGCTCAAAAAACATCAAGGCTAACAAAAAGTAGTAAATTTGGTCCTCAAACTCCTGCTTCAAATCTTGGTGAGTAGTATTGTATGCAAGTTAGACAGCTGAGGTGATTTGTGTGATTCTTCTGTGTACCTACTTAGTGACAGGTCATTGTAGATCCTCAAGTTTTACTTGCAAAATCATCTTTTGTCCTAGTTCCACTGAAGCTAAAGGAATAAAAGGTGATATAGATAATGAGAAAACTCTTGAAAATTCGCAGGTTCTCCTGGCAATAATCTCACTCCTGCAGGTCCCTGTCGTTATGACAGCTCCTTAGGTAGCCTTGTTTTTCCCTTGTGTACTTTATTTGCTGTTTATTTTCAAATTATTCTAAAAGAAGTTAATTGGCTAAATTATTATTGGCATTGTTTCTCACTGTTTTGGAATTGAGTGAGTAAATCTTAAGATGATATAATGTCCTTCGAATTTGACTCAGGGCTTTTGACAAAGAAGTTCATCAATTTGATTAAACAAGCTGAAGATGGTATTCTTGATTTAAATAAAGCTGCCGATACCTTGGAGGTAACTGTTTCGTTATTTGTTCAAACAATCAGATCATACAATTCCATTTTGTGATAGTTTTCTGCCCCTACAGGTGCAAAAGAGGAGAATATATGACATAACCAATGTCCTTGAAGGAATTGGTCTCATAGAAAAGAAACTTAAGAACAGAATTCAATGGAAGTATGATCTATATCTTATTTTCTCTACTTTATTGGCATTGATTGGCTTCCTAGTTAATAAAACACTAATCTTTTAATTAATATCAGGGGGCTTGATGTCTCAAGGCCAGGGGAGGTTGATGAGAATGTTGCTACTTTGCAGGTATGATTCATGAAATTGTAGACTAATTGTTAACTGAAATGCTGTTTCTTTGATGGATTAAGCTTCAGCTGTTATGATTTGTTTTTTAGTGTTTGTATTTACTGGAAAATTAATCCAATTTCTGTGTCTTTTTCTTCTTTTGGGTGCATGGACATGTACTGGTTCATTCTTTGCTGCTCTCTGTTTTGCTTTATTGCTGTTTTTGACCGTGTTAAATTCAACATGTCTTGTATTTCCACCTCAAATGATGGAAGTGCTTCTTCAGTTGAAATTTGAAAAGACAATATCAATAATTTCTGGTGAAACCAATATGCTGTATGACTGTGGATCCATCAATGCCTCCTTAACCTGCTGGCTTAGGCTGCTGGAAATGTTCTTCTTTCCTGCTTTTATTTCAGACCAGACTTCTGTCAAAAGCCATGACATCTTTGTCTATACTTCTCATTGGCAGTTTTGTACCTTTCTCTTTCTCTTTCTTGGCCTCTAATTTTTGCTTGAAAGTTACAGTGGCCTGTTATTTGAATGTTCTAGCACATAAGATAAAGCTTTGTTGAGTCGTATTCAGTTAATTTTCAGCACCAATAAGTACAAGACTTGGAAATGATGGATCAAACACCTATTCTGTTTCTCATCAGCTAAGTTTGTAATGAAAACTTCATAATGGTAACATTCTTGCAGGCAGAGGTTGAGAACCTCTCTATTGAGGAACGCAGATTAGATGAACAAATAAGGTTAAGCTGCTTTGACGTTGCTCTTGTATCTCAGTTACATTGATTTCATTCTCTGGATTGTTACTGAGGTATCTATATTGTACAGAGAAATGCAAGAAAGATTGAGGGTACTCAGTGAAGATGAAAATAATCAAAAGTAAATCTTCGCTTACCCACTCAAGATATTATTACTTTTACACTTTTGCCATGATTTCTGCAGAGCAACTTAACTCATTTCATCTTTTCCAGGTGGCTTTTTGTCACCGAGGAAGATATCAAGAGCTTACCCTGCTTCCAGGTTTTTTCATTGCTCAAATTATTAATGTTTTTGAGTTGGTAAATGTAAGGTCACCTGGCATTGCTAATGCTAGGGATGCTTTCTACTTTCTGCTTATAACTATATGTTTTATTGCCTTCGTTTAGAATGAAACACTGATAGCTATTAAAGCTCCACATGGAACCACTCTGGAAGTCCCAGATCCTGATGAGGTAGTCTCAAAGGATTGAAGAATTAACATGTGGTTTATATTTTTATGTTCAATCATAATTGCAACCTTTTCCTTTTATAGGAGGCTGTAGACTATCCCCAGAGGAGATACAGAATTGTCCTCAGAAGCTCAATGGGTCCTATAGATGTTTACCTTGTCAGGTACCACTTCTTGTTGGTTAAAAGTTGGTATCCTTGCATGCAATTTTGATCTTTTCTTATTGCATGGGAAAAGCTTTGTGCTAAGGACAAATGTCCATCTGAGCATTAAAGTAGTCAACTTTCCTGAGGATTCCTCTCTCTCTGCTATCCTAGTCAATTTGAGGAGAAATTTGAGGAGATACAAGGTGTAGATCAGCCTCCAAACTTTCCATCAACTTCATGCTTGAATGAAAACCCAGCAACAACAATGGTAACAGAGGAGAGCAGAGGGAAGGAGATTGAAATGGAGGGCCAAGATACTAATAGAATGTCCTCAGATCTTAATGCCTCACAGGACTTTGTGAGTGGCATCATGAAGATTGTTCCCTCAGATGTTGATGTAAGTTCAACTCTTCTACTGTGGGGATATTGCTGCTTTAAGAAAAAAAAAAGCTTTAAGAAAACAGTCTTTATACCTTAAAACTTATGAATTTGTTGATTATTTACTGAAGGGGGGCTTGCTTTCTGAAAACATATTCCTTTCTTTTTCTTGAAAACAAGATTTGATTGACCATTTCAAAATTCTCATATGATGAAGTTCTTAACTCCTCATTTCTTTTGATAAATTGTTAATGAGTACTCATTTCCTGATTTCTTTGGCAGAGTGATGCTGATTATTGGCTTTTATCAGATCCTGGTGTTAGCATCACTGACATGTGGCCGACTGAATGTATCCTCTACTTAGATGTACTCGGATTAATGTTAATTTTATTTCTCTTGCTCATGATTTTGCATTCCATGACTCTTTTAACTATAGCTGGGGTCGAATGGAACGAGTTTGATACGCTTCGTGAGGACTGTGGCATGGCTGCTGTTAGCGCGCCACATCCCCAAACGCCTCCATCAAATGCAACTGAAGTGCCATCTGCTAATTCAACCGGGAGGTGAAAGCGTATTTGCAAGAGTAAAACTGAAGATTCATTGGCTTGCTTTGTCTTGAGAGCATTCCTGGTACTTGGAAATTGGCATCCAAGTTTGCAAAAGTTGGCTACTTGATGTTCCTCAAAGTTGTAGGTAGCACAATCACTGTACAGTTAAGTAATACTACAAATGATCTACGTGATGTTGTAGTAAATAAGGTCATATTTAATCTGACTTATTTCCCTGTATAATATTCCATCTCTTTTGCTTTTATTGCGTCAACCAGCACATCTTGTTAGATTGACTGGCATAGGGTCATGTAGACATCATATGATGGCAAACAAATGATCTGATGTACCTCTTTTTTTTTTTTTTTGTTTAAACTGTATTGAGCAAAATTTTGAGGAAATAAAGATGTAACTTGTATGGGATGTTCCGTTCCGTGCGCGGCAAGGCTGTTTTTGAGCAGCAACATACCAGAACTATCATGCAATGTATTTAATCACACAATACTCCTAGATTGATTTCCTGTCGCAGAGAGGGGTCGTGCATGAGTGATTCATTAAACTTGCTAGAGGCATTTGGACTAAGGATCGACCTTATACCAAGAGTGAAATATGATGAATTGAAAAGATTCAGCTCCTTTGATCATTAACAGAACATGTAGATTGATATGTGATGTTTCACGGATGCCGAAATTTATATTTAGGCTCAGTGTTTTACATGATTACAATCTTATGTGTGTTTTCAACCAATCAATCGTAGTCTTTGCAATTAACATGTTTGCAAGCACACTGAAATCAACTAAAATCATATTGGAGCTTCGAAAAAAACTCTAATCTCCATGGAAACACCAAAGAAAAAAAAAAATTTTACTTGCAAACTAAATATGATTAGACAGGGCATTGAACATGGAAGTACCCAAACATTTCACTTATCTTTCAACCTTCTTTCCTATCCAACTCGCAACAATGGGAGTCAGAGCCACAGTTGGAGGAAACCTTATAGGAGATGCAGCTTTGTGTGCAGCATATGCCAAAGCAAAGGTCCCAACTTTTTCTCCGGTTGCATCAGTTGAGATTCCCACCTGGAAATTCCATCTAATGGTAATTTGTAACCCATAAATGGTTCTCCGGTTCCTTGGCTTGATCGCCCTTTGATTTCATTTCTTCACCTTCTTCCTCTGAGCTGAATATCTTCAGATACTCACAAAATACATAAATAATTGACAGAAGTTAGCTTCTCATCATAACCAAAAACTAAAATCAGCAGAGAAAATCAGACAACAGCATGTCTCTTTAATCAATGTCAAAATGTAGAAACAAATAAATAAATACAAAATTTCCACCACCCCAGGAGATAAAAGCTTCTTCTAGTGCATTCAAAATTCCCATAAATGCTTCTTTTTCTTTTCTGTGAAGTTTAGTTTTTGTATTGTGAACTAATATAAGTGAAGCCATTTTTTACTTAACAAATTGGAATACACAATTGAAGGAAAAAAAACTAGTGAAAGATTAGATAGAAGGCCAAGGGTTTTCTTATTGTAACTAATTGAGAAAAGAGAATTAAGTACGTTCCATAGTCCAGCTTCAAGCCCATACTTGTTTGCAACTTCATCGACAGATGAAGATTGGGTTTTTTCTTTGATGGCTTTGACTTTGACGCTTTTCAACATGGGTTTGATGGAAGTTGGAGTTGAAGCAGAGGAGGAAAGCTTGGAGTAATTTTGGGTATTGAAGAAATAAGTGGAAGAGAGAAAAGTAAGTGTTAGAATTGTTGTCGCCATTGTTATTTAGCTGACCATAGAGTCTCTATCTAAACCAAGTTTGTTTAATACTTTTTTTTCTTCCAAGTTGTAAGGAGAACCAAAGAAAAAAAAATCTGGGAAAGACCAGAGATAGAAATTCGAACAGGTTAAGTTCACTTGAATGACAATATTGGCCCTCTGGTTTTCATTATTTTCAGTTGGTGATCATTCCAATCCATTTGCGAACTTGAAGTGTCTCAACTTCCCTGAAATATTGGTGTATCTTTCAAATTAAAGAGGTTAAGTTGGATTAGGCTTTGCAAGGTAATATGTAGGGATGTTCGGGCTCAATATTTAAGGTACAAGAGTCATATTTTAATTGAGTTCGTTTCTATGTATTACTATTATTATTATTATTATTATTATTATTATATAAACGGAATTAAAAGACTCTTTCATTAGTTAAGAGTTCATTTTTAATATTCTATTTAGTTATGTATAAAAAAATTGATTTGGTTCATAAATTCAATGGTGATCGTGGATTTGAATATTCCTACTGTTAATTCATGTTCAATGTCAATGCTAATAATTTAAGTATAAAATCTTACAAAACATCTTTCGTTTAAAAACAATATAATTTACTTATCCCCTTTTTTTTAAACCAAAAAAAAAAAGCGATATTTTAACCCAAATCATGCCTATGCATCAATCTCTCATCTCTAACAAGTTCTCATGTTACATATGATGAAAAATTATCAATTTAAAATTATACGTTAAGAGATATATCAAAAGGTGGATATATATAATTATGAGTGTACTTCTGATTCAATTCATCATGTTTTCACCTTTAAAGCGGGATTTGCAAAAATCTTCGATTTTAAACCCTATTATTATCTTGAAACAAACTTTAAGGCCATACACTCTGTAACCATTGGAAAAAAAATGTCAAAAAGTTATTTAATATGGGTTTAGATGAACACATTACATTTACTTGCGAGTGGAGGATGTTTTGGCCATTCTCTATGTTTTTTTTTTTTTTTGTCTAAGCTTATATGGTCAAGTAGCAGAGTGATGAGCAGCCATGGAAGAATAAGGTTAGTGTAAGCTGAAACCAAGAAAGAAACACCATGAACCATGATGGATCTGCAACTCCTTAATTATTACATTTGAAAATTTATAGTACTAGTAATAATTTTTTTATCAATGGATGAATGTAATGAAATGATAATCACTTCTTTGAGCTTTTGCTCCTTAAATTTTGTATTTGAATCTAACAATATCCTCTAGATCAGTTCAATTAAACTATTTGAGGATAATATGATTTTAAATTTGTTTCACATGTTTTTTCTTTTGTGCAGTAACTTCATACTAAGAAAGCTAGACACAGTTAAAAAAAAATTCTGCCTAAGTTAAATTAATAGAGGAGTGAAAATATCAGATTGTTTTCATAATGAATTAATTAATTGATCACAAGTTTTAATATTTTTTAGGTTGCATTACAAAACAGGACTCAAAAAGATTTTCTTGGATTACTTTTTTTGAAATTGAAACCAACTAGACTTTGAAGTCTCCAACCGATAGACTCAAATCTTGTAGGAGCTTTTCTCTTTCAAAATAACTCAAGCCATAGATAATCGTAGAATTCAATCTTTCTTCAAACTCAAAAAACAAAAAAAATCCATGGCTTCCCAACCTAATCAGTCAAAAAACCTTGCTTTCAGTTTTCCAAAAAACACTCAAGCGGTCATTTCACAACAGCAATCTAATTGTTGTACAGACCTCCCATCAGAATTGGATTCGGGCTCTCTTATTTCATACACTTCATTGAAAGACTTGATTCCTTCAGTCAAAGGGTCGAAGAATAATCCTTATTCAAAAGGGTTGACGATTCAATCTGCTTACGAGATTCCCATAACCAACTTGCTCGTGAAAAAGGCTGCATGGGTTTATTTACAGCCAATGCCGGCATTGCCACTTGAAAGTACTACTCCCAGGGAACACACTCTTTGCCTTGTTTGGGGTGATGTTAACTCACCAGTGAAAGCTTGCGTTAGTTTTATTCAAAGGAATATAATTAACAAGATTGTTAGTGCTTTTGAGAAGCTGTTGGAAGAAATTCATATTGGTCGAAACAACAGGTTAGGGCCAAATTGATTTAATCCTTAATGTTTTGTAAATACGGCAGTAACTACTAATTATATAATTTGAAGAAGAAAGGATTCTAAGTATGCTCAAAGAGCAAGGAGAATAATGCCTTTTAAGGTTAGTTTTTCTTTTTTTTTTTTATTCACTGTTTTTTATTTGAAGAAAGAATTTCTATCCAACGCAAATAATCCGAAGAATCATGCATTAATTATTAAACTAAATATTTGAGTGCTTTTATTACTCGCTATGAATTTTTTTTTTTTGAAAGGAGAGTATTATAAGTCTCTTTTCTACTTATGATCCCTATTGCTATTATTATTTGAGTTAAGCTTAAGAGGCCTAGGAGTTATTTTTCTTTCAAGAACATTAGTGTTATCTTCTGTTTTTTTTTTTTTTTTAGCTTGGACTATTTTTTAATCAATAAATAATTCATCTATATCATGCATACTTTTTTGTGAGAATTGAATCTAATTCTGTTTTGACGAAGGTGTTATTATATGAGATAAGGTATATGTAATTGAAATCGTTTTTTTTTTTTTGAAGAGATTAGCATTGAATAAAGTTGAAGAAGTGCAATTGTTTCAAGATTGAAATTCTCTTGGTTTTTAGTTTTTATCTTAAATTTGTTGCTAAATATTATAACAAGCAGCAAAATTTTTTCTTTTGCTATAATAATGCAAATAATTTTGAGTCTTTTAATTTGTAACAAATGCTTATTATGCTTCACTTAATTTTACTCATTTATTTATTTGCGCAGAGTTAAAATTAATATGATCTCTAAAAATTGGTGGTAGAAGCTTTTTTTTTCGATCAAGATGATAGAAATTAATTACTATAAATCTATTTTAACAAATTATAACTATTCCACATAATGGATAAGATCACTTTTTATTATCTAAAAAAGGCTGAAAAGGCTATAGATTCTTCATTTTTCTTCTTGTTTTCATTTTGGCATCCTTGAATCGATTTTTTAATAAGGATTATATAGGAACGATGAGCACAAAGTATGAAAGTATATTTAAATTTTGAGTTCTTTTTATACATTATCAATTGTTCCTAGAAGTATGCGTTATTATGATAAACTCTCTTATGGAATTTTAAAACTACCTTAAACAATATATATTCACTAAATATTTGATAACCAATAGGAAAATCAAATATAGTGAAATCAGACGGAAATCAAATCTTAAAATCTGTATCTTATTAAATCTAAAAGAGAGTTTAAGTTTGCCACTAATAAGATTATCTACTCATAAGCATCATAATCGGCAAAATTACTATAAGATAGAGCATTGTTTATGTATATCAGAAAATGAATCTTTATCTATAAAAAGGAAACTCAAAAAGGATTTTTATTTTTTAAAAAATGAAGAATCTTATCGCAAAATTAACATGCCGAACATTTCCTTTAAGTAAAGTCAAGTACCTCTGATAATTTTTTCTTTTTTAAATCCCGAGAAAATGACTAGAGAAAATTAAAAAATTGTTGGAAGGGACTCCTACCAAGAATCCCCTTCTAGGCAATTTACACTCAACAAATCTACCCTTTTAGCAGGTTTTATCATATCAATGTTTCAGTTAACACCTTGAGAAACACAAACATTTTTCTCTCTTTAGTTTTTATGGCTTCCAACAAGAAAAATCTGTTGAAAACCCGGTTTACAGCCAATGCAGGATGTAGGTGTGGCAGGCCAAAACTTTCTGATGTTTATGAACCAAAACCAAAACCCAAAACCTCTGCACCCAAAAATCCTAGACTTTGCTCTTCCTCAAGGTCTTGCGACATAAACAATGCCCTTTCAGCGACGGAGAATGATGACCTGACATCCATTTCTTTCTCTTTCAACAATATTGATAATATATCGCACATTACTGATCTCAACTCTGAATCTCATTACAAGGGATTAAGCTTTTAATGGCATTTTTTTTTTCACATTTAGGCGATATTTATAATACCATTAAAAAATTATCATCATTTGTCAAAAATACTGCTAAGAGTGCCACCTTTACTTGGTTGAAAAAAATAGCGACATTTTTAGAAAAATGCTAAACGCTGTTAATTGATAAAAATGCCGTTAAATTTAGTGACATTTATAGTAAAAAACGCCACTAAATTTAGTGGTATTTATAGTAGAAAGTGCCACTATATTTTGGCATTTAAGGTATTTTTAGGTACAAATGCCGCTAAATTAAAAAAATTATTTTTTTAAAGTTTTCTTTTAATATTGATTATTATCATTAAATAAAAAATATTAAAAGAAATAAAAGCAAACTTAAATTCATAAACTGAATATTATAAATACATAATTTGTTTCAATATGGATGGAACACAAAGTTTAATACATGCAATAACATTCAAATTATTTTAGTACATTAACCAGAAATTTAAAATGTATGGAATTGATAATTGCATAGATTTGGAATACTACCATTTGTTGAAAGATTTTTTCCACTTTGGTCACTACCATCTTCTGTTGTTGATGGTTTTCATGCACAATGAATCCTTCAAGTAAGATTAAGTCATTTCATCAAACACCATGATCTAAAAAAACAAACAACACAAATGCCAAGATGAGATAAAAAAAACGTAATAGACTATTTCAGAATGCTTTTCCTAAGGATATATTGAATGAATCAATAAATTCATGTTAACAAGTAACAATTTTTTAGTAATTTAAAAAATATTCTGTTGAAAAAAAATTAAACTTAAAATTTCATTCGTGTTTGTAACTAAATTCAATGTTCAATTTTAAGTTTTTCAGAGAAAAACCTTATTTCTTTTCATTTTCTGTTCTATCTTGAATTTTTCTCATGAACCAAACAAAACTATACTCAGAACTACAATAACGAAATAAATTCGTAAAAAAAGAAAAAAAAGGTCAAACACTGAAATTGCCAATGTTAAAATGAAACTTATCAATGGAGCTTGAAAGGCAGCAGAAACATAACAAATCAGACAAGAAGTTTAAGAATTTGATCCAACAAATTAGACTTAAAGTTTAGAGATTTGACCCAAAATGCAAGAAAGCTAACTTGAAATTTGTGAAAACAAAAGAAAAGAAGATGAAAATTGACCATAAAATGACTAAAACTTAGACAGAAAATGAGAAGAAAAAGACCTAAAATGAGCATAAATGAAAGAAATGAGTAGGAAAAAGAAAAGCAAAAATGGGTCTCGTGGGTTTAAAATTTAAGTAAAATTTAGAAGTGGAAAAATATGATTATTGAAAGTATTTTTGGCTAAAAACGCTTTCAAATAATCTCTCAAAAATTTGAATGGGATTGTTCAAGGCGTTTTTAGCCAAAATTGCATTGAATAAGACGCCTTGAATAATCCTGTTCCATTTTTTTTATTATTCAAGGTGTTTCTGGCCAAATATGCCTTGAATAATCATCTTCCATTTTTTTTTAGATTATTCAAGATATTTTTGGCCAAAAAATGTCTTGAATAATCCCTTATAAAAAATTAAATAGGGTTATTCAAGATCTTTCATTTTTTGGGGATTATTCAATGCATTTTTTATCAGAAAATACCTTGAATAATCTCTTACAAAAAATTAAATAGTGTTATTCAAGGCATTTTTCGCTAAAAATACCTTGAATAATTCCTTTCATTTTATGGGAAATTATTCAAGGTTTTTTTTTTACAACAATGCCTTCAATAATCTTTTCTTTTTTTGAGATTATTAAAGGTATTTTTGACCTAAAAAGGCCTCGAATAATCCCTCACAAAAAATTGAATGGGGTTATTCAATGCGTTTTTACCAAAAATACCTTGAATAATCTAAAAAAAATAAAAAGTGATTATTCAAGGCGTTTTTGGGCAAAAAAAGCCTTGAATAATCCCTTAAAAAAATTGAATAGCGTTATTCAATTCGTTTCTGACATAAAATGCCTTGAATAATCCCTTCCATTCTTTTTAGGATTATTCAAGGTATTTTTTACAAAAAAAAAAAAAACTTCAATAATTTTTTTATTTTTGTTGGGATTATTCAATGTGGTTTTTTAGCTAGAAAAATGCTTGAATAATCCCTTAGAAAAAAATTGAAAGGGATTATTTTAGGCATTTTCTGACCAAAAATACCTTAATATATTTTAACATTTTTTTTTTGCCTTATTCCAAGGTGTTTTTAAACAATCTCTTACAAAAAATTAAATGAGATTATTTAAGGTATATTTTGATCCAAAATACTTTAAATAATCCCCTTTATTTTTTATTGGAGATTATTCAAAGTGTTTTTGACAGAAAACGTCTTGAATAATCTCCTCTAATTTTTATTAGAGATTATTCAAGACGTTTTTGGTAAAAAATACTTTAAATAATCTTTGCTAAAAACACTAGAGTAGTTCGTTAGTTAGAGTATAAGGCTATTAACCATAAGGTCCTAAGTTTGATCTTTCTTTTTAGCTTTTTGAAAGTTTTTTTAAGGAGTGCAAAAATGCATGTTAGCGATGTTTACATTATAAACGTCTTGAATAATCCTTTGCTAAAAACATTGCAGTAGTTCAGTCGGTTAGAGCATATGACTATTAACCATAAGGTCCTAAGTTTGATCCTTTCTTCTAGCATTTTAAGAGTTTTTTAAAATGTGCAAAAATGCTTGTTAGTGGTGTTTACATTATAAACGCCGCTATATTTATAAAAGTCAAAGTATATAGCAACGTTTAGGTCAACAAATACTATAAAAATATACTTTCAGTGGCGCTTTTAAATCCAAACGCCGCTATATACAAATTTAGTGGCGTTTTATAAAAAAAGTCACTAACCTTATAAAAACACGAAACTTTGTTGCGTTTATTTAAAAATGCCACTAAAAAATAACCACTAAATTTTTATTTTTCTGTAGTGTTTGAATTTGATCTTTCAAGACCATCGAAAGTTTTGCTTAGCACTTGCCTTAAAACCATCGTTAGCATCATTGCGGAGAAGGATTCCAATGACCTATATCAAGATTTTCAACATTTCATGCACCAAATGATCATGGAAAAACAAATCTACTCCAAAAATGATCTTCAAAAACTTCTTCAATGTTTTCTAAAGCTGAATTCTCCATGTTACTGTAATGTTATTGTCAAGGTTTTCATGGAAACCTGGAACCATTTTACCTCTAAGGAGATTGTTATAGTTAAGGATCAACATCCATGTTTGTTTAACGGAGAGTAACATGGATCCTAGAGCTATAGAGCTTTTTACACATGTAGGGATGACAAACTATATGGATACATTGAGTTTGCACGTGGGAAACTGCATGGCAGTTTGTCAAAGTTAGGATGTTATATGTAAACTTTTTTATAATTAAATGTAAGAAAATTTCACATAACTATAATTAAGTAATAACTAGCAGGAAGAGAGTTTTTTTTTTTTTTTTGTTTAATCAATAAGCAATCTCTATTTTATAAGAAAGTAGTGAAGTGTGATTTGTATTTCAAATAATGTAATTATAAATAGAGAACAAAACCTATATCTAAGAATTGCATTTATGTGAAAATCTAATTTTCGTTATTACTTAATTAGTTGACTTTATCTATTTTAGTTAAGTTTTTTATTTTTAGAATAAGTAATAATTTTGGGTAATTACGTCAAATCTATTAGATTTTTTTTATTATGTATAGAGAGTAAATTACTCATTTGATTAGCCATTTTAATACATGAAAATATTGGGTTTTAAGGCTAAGAATATTCAGTATTTAACCTATAAATTTTTATACAATTCTAGCATGTAATAAGAAAAATATAGAAGAATAAAATTATTTTATTCTAGAGATTTTTTCATGGTATTAAAGCACGATCTGAACTTTTGAAATTTTCATTTAGAGTCCAGAATGGCCAACAGAAGAGAAAGCCTGGCATTGGAGGTTACCCTTAACCATGGAGTTAGCTTCTTCCAATCACTGTAAAATATTACCACCTCTATTCAAATAGGTTCTTTAGCATAAAAAAGCAATTTTCTAAGTGTCTTGAGTGTAAAACTAGAAAAATAAAAATTATGAAATGTGGATTCAGGAGTTTCAGACATATGACTGAGGATGCATCTAAATTTAGTAAATACAAACCATGTCTTGAAAACTTCAAACTTCAAGTTACTAATGGGTCACTTTTAGAAGTAGCTAATGCAAGTTTTACTATTATTTTCAAAGAGATAACATTTGATTATGTTCTGTTTGCCCCAAATCTAACTTGCAATATATTATCTATAAGTAAATTTACAAGAGATTTAAGTGTGTTACTAAATTTCTTTTAAATATGTATGAATTTTAGTATTTGGATTCAAGAAAGATGATTGACAATGCTAAAATGAGTATAAGACTCTATATCCTAAGAGCTAATAATTCTAAAAAACAATATCAAAAGATTTTTTGTGTGGCTTTATCTTTCATTGATAATAAAAATAGTATTATTATGTTGCGGCACTATCGGTTAGGTTATCCAAATTTTTTGTACCTCAAAAGGTTGTTTCCCTCATTATTCAATAAAAATTCTAACAATTTTCAGTGTGAAATTTGTCAACTATCCAAATATACCCATACCACATATCTTAATTAGCTTTACAAATCATTATATCCTTTTTTAATGATACACAGTGATATTTGGGGTCCCTCAAGAGTAAATAATATTACTGACTCTATATGATTTATCACATTTATTGATGATTATACCAGGGTTACTTGGGTATTTCTTATGAAGAAAAAAATCAAAAGTGGACCAGCTATTCCAAAACTTCAACAATATAATCCAAACTCAATTCAAAACTAAAATTCGAGTGTTGATAACTGATAATGGAAAAGACTACTATAATTTAATCCTTGGATTATATCTATTGAAGCATGGTATAATTCATCAAAGCTTATATGTCAATACTCCTCAGTAGAATGACGTTATTGAAAGAAATAATCTACATTTGTTAGAAGTTGCAAGATACCTAATGATGGCTACCATGTACCTAAGTATTTTAGGGTGAGGCTATTTTTATCACTACATATCTTATAAACAGAATGCCTTCTCAAGTCATGAAATTTTAAAGTCCTTGCCAATCCCTTTTTGATTCTTATCCTCACCTTCGAATCATCTTGTCTATTCCCATTAAATGTTTAGATACATTGTATTTATTCTTATAAACAAACAAAACCAAAGTAAATTAGATCACAAATCCATCAAATGCATATTTCTCTGAATACTTTCTGAATAAAAAAGGATATAAGTATTACTCACTAGTAACAAAAAATTTTACCATTCCATGAATGTTACCTTTTTTGAAAATTAACCATATTTTCCCAAAAGTACCATTTATGAGGAGAATCCAATCACACGAGAATATCAGCTTTGGGAAGATCTTATTACCGAACTACCAAACACTTTTCAAACTTTCTTTCATGCCTAAAACATCCAACCATATCCTTAAACTCTTTTTTAAGTCTAAAACATCCAACCAGATCCTCCAAACTTGAAGTCCACATAAGGAAAAACAAATAAATAATTGATTGTCTATTCAAGAAGACATAAAACTCATAAGCATCTATGAGAATGTACATCTTCAAAGCAAAACCAAGAATCTGAATCAATTCTAGAGATATTTGAAACCAATACAGGTAACACTTTTACTAAATCTAATTTAATTGAATCTTTTGATGATTTGATCAACTGATTACTCTAAGAAAATGTGTAAGATCATGTATTCAACACCAAATCTATAATGTGATTTCTTATAAAGGTTTATCACCCAATTATTAGACTTTTGTTATCACACTAAACAATATGCAAATTTTTAAAAATATTCATAAAGCACTCATGCAACCAAAATGGAATATGACTATTTAAAAAAAAATTAGGGCCCTATAAAAGAATAAAACATGAGAGATTTTACAATTACCCAAAGGAAAAAATTTAGTTGGGTCCAAATGAATTTTTACTATCAAGCACAATATGGGTGGAAGTAATAACAGATTTAAAACTCGCTTTGTTACAAAAGGATTTACTCAATCTTATGGTGTTAACTATGAAGAAACATTTGCTCCAGTCGCTAAACTTAATTCAATTCGGGTGTTATTATCATTTGTAGCAAATCTAAATTGGCCATTTTACCAACTAGATGTCAAAAATGCATTTCTTAATGACAACTTAAAAGAAGAAGTTTACATGAAAATCCCTCCAGGATTCAAAAATCAAGACAATTCTTGCAAGGTATGTAAACTTCAAAAGTACTTATATGATTTCAAACAACCTTCACGTTCATGGTTTGATAGACTAACAAAAATGGTAAAGAAGTATATTTTTCACAATGCCAGACCAATCATACCATATTTGTTAAACATTCACTTGAAGGAAAAATAGCCATTCTTATTGTCTATGTGGATGGCATTATTCTTACTAGAGACTATGTGGAGGAAATTAGCAACCTAAAGAACCTTCTAGCCAAAGATTTTGAAATTAAAGATTTGAGACATCTCAAATATTTTTGTGGCATAGAGGTAGTTTGCTCAAGAAATGAAACTAGAATGCTTGGATGCAAACCTATTGACATCCATATGGACACAATGAATAAGGTAGGAAAGTCCACCAACAAATAAGGGCAAATATTAAAGACTTGTTGGAAAACCCATCTATCTCCCATATAAGACCAAATATCAATATTTCAATTAGCATGGTAAATAGATTTATGAATAACCCAATCGAAGAACACTTGAGGGACATATATCAAATCTTATACTACCTAAAGAAGAATCCTGGCAAAGATTATTTTATAATTAGACATCACGTTAAAATGTTAAAATTTATAATGATACTGATTGGATTGGATCCGTTACTAACCAAAGATCAACTACTAGTTATTGTACCTATGTATGGGAAAATTTTGGTTACTTAACAAAGCAAGAAGAAATCTTTGGTGACTAAAAATAGTGCAAAAGCTGAGTTTAGAGTTATGTCCTATGGTATATGTGAGGGAATTGGCTAAAAATGTTAGTAGGAGAGTTAAAGGTCTCTGTAGAAAAACTCATGAAGATATTCTGCAACAACAAAGATGCCATATGTATAGCAAAAAATAATGTTCATCATAATAAGACTAAACATGTGAAGATTGATCGTCACTTCATCAAAGAGAAAATAGAGAAAAAATGGTTAGATTAGTTTATACTCCCACATGCCTCTAAACTGCAGATATATTCACTAAAGTTTTTTCTTGAAACAACTTCGAGAATCTAAAATCTAAATTGGGCATGATTGATATCTACCACCCAGCTTGAAAGAGAGTGTGAAAATTTAATCTTCATTATTACTTGATTAGTTGGCTTTATTTATTTTAGTTAAGTTTCTTATTTTTAGAATAAGGAGTGATTTGGGTAATTACACCAAATCTATTAGATATTTTCTTATTATGTGCAAAGAGTAAATTACTCCTTTGATTAGTTGTTTTAATGCATGAAAATCTTAGATTTTAAAGTTGAGAATATTCAGTGTTTAGCTTATATATTTTCATGTAATTGTAGCATTATAATAAAAAATATAAAAAAATAATTCTATTCTAGAAATTTCTTCAATTTATAACAAACTATGCAATTTTTAATGTTAGTAATTGACTACATTTGTTGCTGTTTTTAGGTTTTATAAAAAGGGAGAGAGTTTTTGGCCCTTTGCATTTTCCATCTCTTTCATCTCATATATACTTTTACTTTTGTTGGGTTGTTAGAACTTAAAAGTATCCAATTGTCCTTTAGTGCTTGATGTAAATATGGAATACGATCAAGTCAGAGAAAGCTCCACCACCCATTTTAATTAAGTTTTTTTTCATTGATCATAGCAATTTTTGAGCCAATAACCTCTAAAAACTTTTCATTAATTGTTTCAAGAAAAATACAAAATTTATTGATGATATTACATGTTTAAATATTTTCGAATCCATAATTTTTAAAATTTTAACCAAAGCATGTACATATAACCTGAATTAATGCTCAATTGGTTAGAATTTACTAATATTAGTACCAAATTAATCTTGAATGAAATAATTCACACAGTTCAATATAAATGGATTACCATTTAACTTTCTTTATCTGATGATTTTCCTTTGGAGTTAAAATAAGGGTACGGATAAAGTTGAAATTAAGTATATGTTAAAGAGTTTGCTTTTGTTATGAATGTGTGAATATAAATATATATATATATATATATATAGAGAGAGAGAGAGAGAGAGAGAAAAGTTCAATTTACATAATATAATTTAACTATTAATTTTAATAAATTTAAGAGATGAGATTAAATTATTTTTTTATTTTTATTTATCTCATTCATTTTTTTAAATTTATTAAAATTAATAATTAAAAAAATATAAAATTAATAAAGAATTAGACTGTGGTCTCTAATCTCTTCTTATATATATATTCAAAAGGTTTTCCTTTACTTTGTAGCAATAAATTAACGCTGGTTGGTACTTCGAAAAAGAAGTTTACTGAAGTTGGGTGACTCTATCGGCACTGTGGTCTGTTGGCTAACTTACCAACTGGCTTAACATTTGAAAAATATAACTCTTTTTCCATAAAAGATAAACAAAATAGAAATGCATTTTTTTTAATACGCTGAGTACTTTCTTTCTTTTAAAATTAAAATATGCATAGTTAAATTAATTAAATGTGTGAAAATTATCTCCTTCACGTCAATTCCAATCAACCAAATTGTGATTCCTTTTCAACAAATATATTGCATGGCAAGAAAAAAAAACAAAAAAGAAAGAAGTGACTATCAATCTTAGCGACATGCTGGTTGGCACAAGTGACTCACTGGACCAAATTAAAAAACATTGATTGTTCTTTTTTTAAGTTGAAGTTTTAAAAAAAAAATCAAGAAAATTATGAAATTTTTTATCAATTTTTATGATTTATTTGGGTAAATGATTAGGCTTTATTTAATTCATATTCTTAAGATTTATTGATAATTATTGAATGTAGTTTAAAGTCTGGAAGTAAGGATTTGAGTTTTTAAAAATTAAAAGAGAAATTCTGTTTTTAGATGAGATTATATGATGTGTAATAATGAATTAAAATAAAATTTTATATTAATTGATAGATTGTTGTTGTAATTATTATATATCGTTGGAAAGCATATTGAATCTACTTTCTAATGAAATAAACGGAAGTCGAATATAAGTTTTTTATGAATAGTTGTCTAATTTTTACTTAAGGATATATAAGCTGTAAGATAGCAACATCAGAGTTAAATTATTAAAATTATCATATCTAGAAATATTTAACTCAAAATTAAAATCTTTTCAATATGTTAAAAACTAGACTTGATAAGCTTTTTAACTATATATGGCTCATATCGTGATTTTTTATGGATTAATTATAACTATTTTTGTAATTTACATCATATGTCGTTGCTAGACAGCTTATATAAAATTACGTATTTATTCATAAAAAACTCCAAATTCAATTCAACTTGTTTCATTGAAAAATAGACTCAATAGACTTTTCAAATATATATGGCTTAATTTGTAATTCCTTGTATAAAAATTGAGACAAAAGTGTTTGGTAGAATTGATACAATGAGTCAAGTTATAGCAATTCAATTTAAAAAATTATGAAAAATTAAAATATATTATAATAAATTTAAACTAAGAAACATTTATATATCTTCCTAATTTTTTTTATTAAACATATTTTTTGTTTAAAATTTTACAAAAATTACTCATTTCTACATTAAAAAAAAAAACCATTTATTCCAAAACTTTAAAAAAAAAAAAAAGTTACACACATCGTGTGTAACAAATTCTAGTTTATGCTCTAAGGGGCTAATAGAATGAGATAAAATGTGACTCCAAATTAATATAGTTGAATAGGACAAGAAAAACATGATTATATCAATTCCATTCCACTCCATGTACAATATTCTTGAGTTTAGTTAGCCAAATTCCAATATTAAGCATAACACTATATATATAGTGTTTTCAAAGGGACATTCTAGCGGTTAGATCTTAAGATTTCATTTTGAAAATCATGAGTTTGAGTTTTGAAATAAAAGAGATGGCCATTCATTAAAAGTGACTTAATTTCAAGATTAAAAGCATCAATTTAAGAACATCCAATATTTTGCATTAACATGCCTTCGTGATTAAATTTCTTGGCACTTTAGTTCTAATGTAGTCTCACTATCAAATTCAACAATAGTCCATTAAAATTGTATCCAAACATTTAATTCAATGATAAGTGCATGCATCTATATATATTTATATATACTTATAAAGTTGGATTTTAATCCCACTTTTCAAAAAAATCAAGTACAATCACTTGACATTTGATTAGTCCTTCCTAATTAAGATAAACCAAAAATCGATAAAACACGTATCTTCTATTCAAATAACATTTTATGGATTTCTTTAAATAAAATTTGAAGTAAAAACATTATTTATATTAAATGAGATAGTTTTATTCGATTCATCTTATTAATGAATTAACATAATTTAATTTATTAATAATATATAAAATTTATATACTAACAACATATCAAATATAAAATTTTAAGCAAAATATTTATATTTGATGTAAGTCAGTATATAGATTTTATATGTTATTTGTGAATTGGAAGATAAAAATTTATTAATGTAAGCAGATTAAGCTGAACCACTAAATTGAATGTCTAATTTTTTTAACTGTTTTTTTCATAAGTATGGTATCAAAATAATAAATACATAAAAAACTAATAACTCAAGAAAAAAGATGTGCATAAAAAAGAAAAGAAAAAAAAAACCATTGGATCAAGCCTGGCCAGCTTACCATGACTCGGACACAACCCATAGAATAGTCAGACAGCGAGCCATGCTAGGCTCAATGTTTAAAAATATGTGACAAAGCCTACCACGTATTGTAGGTGGGCTGAGCTGGAAAAGCCCAACCAAGACCGAGCCTAATCTTGGGCAGCGCCATGCCTGACTTGCCCAACCCTTCCATTTTGCCGCTTCTAACCTGTCTCCGGTGCGGGTGGCCTGTTTAGGCTTATAAATTTCGCCCACTTCGTATTGGGTGTTCTGGGCAGGATTTTTCAGCTTGAACTGTCACTTGGGAACAACTGCCCTTCATGCCCCCTAATAGTGGAATATTGATGGAACATCCCTGTTGCATACATTATTATTAATAAGAATTTATTATTATAGTTAACTGATAAATATAGCTTGTTGAAAGATTCTAACTAGTAAGTTATTTGATGATTGCAGTGAGAATATATATAAGATAAAATAAAAGAACAAGGAGTGTTTCAAATATTTGACATTTTCTACTTTTGATCTCTTTGATCTAATGTTATATATATATATATATATTCACTTAGGAATTGAGGAACCCCAAGTGTCAAAGTTTGAATCCTTTCCTCTCCTTTTTGTCCTGGCTAACATACCCAAATAAAAATACTAGTGCTATTTTAATGTTTAGTCTCAATTATATGGTCAATGCAACTACCTAGTGTGGAGAAAAATACAACACATCTTAACTTATTGAATAAATAATTTTGATTAAAGAACTTTTATTTTAGTGATATTAGAATTTGAGGGTTCTTAGTTTCAATTTCAATAGTAGGATAAAAATGAGAGAAAGTTATAAAATTTTCAACTTAATCAATGAATTAAATAGATTTATGTTAAAATAATTCGACAATTTAATTTAATTAACAAATTAAATTTAATATACTTCCAATCCATACAATACACCGGCATGCTTTTCCGGTCCATCATTCACAAAATACACGTCCCTCATTTTCTTAAATGCGTGCCACGTCAGCAGGGAATCGGACCCAGCTTGGTGACACTTCCCAACCGCCCGTTTCACTTCCAAGGTCCGAGCGACCCGGTCCAACCCACCGTACAAGCTCTTGCAGAATCTCATCACGTGCTTCAAATCATAAACCCTGTTGCCGAAAAACACCCTGAGAACCCTCAAAAACTCATCTAAGCCCGCCGGCAAGTCCCGGCGCGTTAGTATCTTAACCAGATACCCAAAATCATAGGCGCTGTGAAAAGTCACCCAACTCACTGAGTCATTACAAACGAGTCCAGAGGACATCATCAACTCAGCGAACCGTACCGAGTCAATCCCCTGTTCCTTATTCTTCTCAAAATCAATCCCTTGCCTCCTCAAGAGCTCGATGGAATCAGGGGCGTGAGCGTCACGGTCCACATCGAAGTCGCGGAAATTGAATTCCCAGATGAACTGAGTGTCGTCAGTTCCGAGGTTAGGCAGATTACCTGAAGAATCGGAGAGGGTGAGGCCCACTTGGATCAAGTTCAAAGAATCAACGTTGGATTTGAGGATCTGGTAATGATCGGAGGGTCGGAGTTGGGCGTGGAAAGGCCTAGTGGGGTCCACTTTTGGTTTGAACACAAGACCCGGAAATTCGGTGTCCATAGAGATGAAAGGGTACTCATCAATTACCTGGCTGATCAACGCGAACTCTGATTCTAAATTATCCGACCAAACTTCCCTTATCTTTATAGGTTTCAAGCTTCTGTCTGAATCTTCAAACCCCATGTCCGAAAATCACAAAATTAGGGGGAAAAAAAGAGAAAAAGACTAATCCTTTTTACTTCTTCTTTTAAATTTTGGTTTGGTTTAAGTGTAGTAGAGCAGAAGAGAGTGAGTGTGAGGGTTATATATTAGTAGCTAGGAAAATATGTAGAGGAGGGTTTCGAAGATGTTGCTTGGAAGTTCGTTCTAAGTGAAAAGATAGATATAGACTTGAGATCAGTCTGCAAAGAAGCAAAGAGATTCAACGCGTTGTTCTTTTTTGACTGGAAAGGAACAACGTAACTAGACTTGGTCCTGATTTAAACAACCGTACGCAGAATTGGTTTAAATTAGAAAAAAGATTAATAGAAATTTAATAAGATAATTTTTATATTTTATATATAATTAATACGATATAATAAAAACAATATAAATACGCGAATTATAACAAAATGTGACGTCAATAATGGTTTTTCGTTCTTGTGTTTGTTTAATGGACGTTTTGCTTTTGTCATTTCTGATTCTGAGGTCAGCAACTCTTCAGTTCAGTATCCAATTACGAGACTAGTTTCAATGCGACCGAGTGACAGTCGGGATTTTCTTGTCATTTGGGTGTGAGTTGAGTGTAAACCGTAAATCTTTGTTATGCTTAGAAGGTTTTGAGATAATTTCTCTTGAGAAAATTGTCTGTAATCTCATCCATTCAAAGCTGCCTTGTATCATCTCATCTTTTCGTTGTATATAATTGAAAATTTTGTTCTTAAAATATTATTTTATGAATTATTTTTATTTATATATTAAAAGTAAAATTTTTAAAATTCATAAACGAAATTATTAATTTATTATGTTTACTCATTATAAACAAAATTTGATGAACGATTATATATGTTTACTTTTTACTTGATTTTTTAATTAATGTATTTTAGTAAAACAAAAGACTAATTTCTAATTCTATTAGTAGAATTTAAAATTTTTACTTTTGGTATAATAGTATAATTTTATTATTATAAAAAATTTAAATTTAATTTAATTAATTCATATAATTATATTTAAAAAATAACATTTAATAAATTTAAAATTCAAATTCTTATACATAGAATCCTTCCCTTATTTTTATACTAGGATATTTTTTGTTTAAAAAAAATGCAAAAGAGAATCTAATTTGATACTTCCTCTATCTCTATTTATTTGTCTTGTATTGATTTTCATGAAATTAAAAAAAATTAATTTTAATGTATTTAATATTAAAATTAATTTTTTTATAAAATTAAAATTTCATGATTTTTAATGTTAAAACAAAAAAATAGTAAAAATAATTTTCAAATATAAAAAAATAAATTTTAGATATTCAAAATATATATAATTTTGAAATATTCTAAAAAAATAAATAAAAAACATAGGACAGAAGAAGTAGCATTTTGCATCATAACTTTGAGGTAAAATGTCTTGCTTTCTTTTTTAAATTACTTCAAGTAGTAACACATAATAACAATATTTTGGAAATAGCATTAATTAAGATCTTTCAAACATTGTAGACTCATATACAGGAAGTTATCACAGCTTTTCTAGATGTGAACGCCTATCAATTTGATGCTGACAAAATCCACTCTGTGTTGAATTTTGTTTTCCCAGAAATTTGGATGGGTATTTGGAAAGTATCCAAAATATTATCTCAATTTTGACAGTTTTTGGTTTTGTGCAATGGAATCCTTTCAAACTAATTTAATTTTTAAAATTGGAATGAGGAATGGATTCGATTGATGGACTCTAATTTAATTCTTTGAGAAAATTTGAAATTTTATGAATTGAATATTCATATATTTACAGAATTGAAGTTGGTAAAAATATAAGGAAAATGAACTTAAGAATTGTCAATTTTAATGGTCAAACCAAAAAAAAAAAAAACCTATGAAATGAACAACAAAAGAGTAAAAATTCATTTGGTTATATAACTAGTTTTAATGTGGTTATGCTATTCAACCAGCAATATATTTACAATAATCCTTATTAGCCGGAAAATATAATATTAAAATTTAAATTATATTTGTCTTAAATATAAAAAAAATTAGATTTAATAAAATGAATTTTATTTAATCTTCAAAATTTAATAAAAAGGTAGGAAGATAAAATTTGCGTGTTAATCTGCTGCCCGAAATTTCTTGGCAGTTAAGATGACCAAGATAACTGATGAGTCAAGCTCACTCTTTTAATTATCAATCAATGATAAGCAAATTGTGACCCAGTCCTCTTTCTTACGGGTTTCTTGGACTCCTTCGCTTAGTTGACGTTGAAACTTCTTTCGAATCTCCTTACAATTTTTTTCCTTTTGGCCAAAGAATAGGACTCCATAGATTTTTTTTTTTTGCATGGAGATGACTTCAATTCAAATATTTATAAGAGTGCATTAGAGAGAATAAAATATAATATCCTTCTTTTAGAATTTTCATGTACGAATTTAATTACAGGGGTTTTAAGTAAGAAACAAAACGAGGTTGTTTACAATAAGATCACAATTTATCTTTTTAGCATAAGGTCATGAAATAATATCTCAATAGAAATTGGAGGAATAATAATATTAATTATTTTATTCGTCTAAAAAATAAAAATACTTTAGATTACATATTTTGGGTTTGTTTTTACCTATTTTTAGAAATAACAACATTAAAATCAAAATTTTAGCATAATTGTGTTACATCTATTTTAATAATATATATATTTTTTACAAATGACTTATACTACAACAATACTTAATTAAGAATATCATTAATCATTATATTTTATAACTCAATTATTTTAAATAATAAAAAATTACTTAAATGATATGGTAAAAAATAATAGAATAAAAGATATTCCAACATTGTTGCAAAAAAATTTTAAAAAATTTATTACCAAAATATGGCTATGTTGCTAAAAATAAAAGCTTTGGGGCTTTTAAAATAATAAATGTATGGAGCTAAGCCCCACATACAAAACAATTCTGATCTCAAAGTAAATTTATAGTAATAATTTATATATATATATATATATATATCTATATGCATGTAAATAAATTTATATGTAAATTAGTAATGCAATTTAACAATTCTATATGATATTTAATTTTGATCATAAAAGCTATCAAATTAAATTTATCTTAACTAGACAATTGTGGTTCTTAAAACATACAAACTTTTTTTTTAAATTTTTTGAGAAAATAATTGACCAAGAATTAACTAACCAAGTAATCAACTACGCACGTACTGCTATACCATACTATATGATATTATTGTTTTCGGAGATTCAGTGTAATAATAAACTCTTAATTTATTTCCTTTTCCATTCTGGTCCCTCACATCATTGTGTTTAATTATCAGTTTCATTCTAAGAAAATTTTTTTTGGTAAAAAAAAAAAATTTAAGTAGATAAATTATTCAATACTTCAAAATAGAATAAAATTTATTATATCTGATAATTTAAAATAAATTACTGTAAGTCATATATTTGAGATAATTTCAACAATGACTATTTGTAAAATTCGAATCAAATATTTCTTCATCGAATAAGATAAATTTTAATTAATTTAATCAATCACTTATTGGTATTCTAAAAAATTTTTACTTATGCATTATGTTCCTCAAAACTAACAAGTAATTATTTTCCATATAAGTGAACCAAAAAAAAAAAAACCATTTAATTTGTAATATCTCAAAAATTTTCAGCTTATGATTTATGTTCAAATTATACATAAAAAAAATAATAATAAAAACAAACATAAAGTTGCTTTTTGATAGAGATTGTGTAGTCGAAGGACAGCTTCAAGTTAAATATTCCTATTCAAGCCATGCAAGAGCTTGAGCTTATTCTATAAACTATACTAAAAATCAGTTTATATTTTCATATTTGGTTGGTTATTTCTAATTTTTTGAATAGCACTTTGATTTGCTTTTGATTGGTTGTTACGAACATTTCTTCTAGATGCTTTAGCAATTTTCGTTGAAGACTTGAAGGTTTTAAAGCTGTGATGCTCATTTCTCAATTTCAAATGAATTGGCTAGTTAATCTCTTAACTGATTTTGATTGGTTTTATTATCTTTATGAACTCGTTGGACATAGGTTTGGGGTTATTTTTGACAAATTGGGAATTAATGTTGTGGCCCTGAAATGCATCAATAGTACTAGAGTAGCAATGGAAATTAACCGTGTGGAAAAGTTTGGCTACTACCTAGCTACCTACTAGCTGGTTGCCATTGTCGCTGTCAATGTGAAAGAGCTAGCCTTTTGGTCGTTTGTCATTTAATTTTGATCATTAAATATTGTCCAGTGTAAATTAAATCTACCATTCAATGTGCCTCCAACGCGGAACCTCAACCTGTATTTTATGCCCTAATTTATATTTATTTTTTAAAGTGTTTTTTACAAATTATAAACATTTGACATCATATAATTTGTATTTATGTTAAAAATATAAAGTTTGAGAGTACAAAAATAAATTTTGGAATGAATTTAACAAAAACATTAAAATGCTTTTTGAATGATAGTTGATTATCTTTTTATTTTTTAATCAGTACAAGTGATTCGATTTCATTTGATTTATTAGAGTAATTAAGTTTGAATTTATAGTAATATATGCAGTTAATATGAATTAATTATTTAATATTAATTTAATTAAAAAAGTTACATAGAAAAATTAAAGAAATAGTAACTAAAATGAGCTATGAAAGTAAGCAAAGAATGAAAGAATGTTGAGTAAATATTTTGAAGGTAATAATTGTAAAAAAAGGTTGTTGTTAACAAGAAAGTGTTTTGAAACATTTAATACTTATAAGCTAAAAAATTATCCTAATCATAAATTATTCTAAGCAATTACCAATTATCATTTTGTGCAATCATTTCAAATTTTCTTAAATAAATTTTCATAAAAATACAGTGGTTGTCTAGGTTTAGTTTGTTGTAAAAAAGAATCCAATTATCAACCGGTAAAGGTAGTTGATTAGCTTCACACTAAGATCACCCCTTAGATCCTAAGGATTTTAAGAAGTATGCTATGATGAAATACTTTTTGTCACAGAGAATCAAAGACTACCTGCCTTTGAAAATATTAGATTTAAAGCATTTCTTCAACAGGCTACTATTGCAACATTCAAATATCAACTAATTCACCAAAAAGGAAGAAGATTCATGTTATGGAATGTGGTTTTCATTTG